GGGGATTTTAGTCCCACAACGAACGCGGCAAAGCCGTTCTTTGTGGTATGGTCTCTCATCGCTGTTCCAACGATGACCACCCTCATCTCGGAGATGAGTGACACAATCGTTGCCTGGTTCAAGAATGCCACCGATAAAGTTGCAGACTGGACCGTTCTTCCACAATCATCCAAGTATAAAAATTTTCTCCAAAGGCTGCCTATTATTTACTCCGCCCTCGAGCGGCGAGCAGAAAAGAAACGAGTTGCTCAAGGCTTTCCTGTTGGTGACTTAGAACCAGGGCAGCGGCAGGATGATGGCGCCGACTCCAGCCGTCGTCCGAGACCCCTTGAAGATCTAGCTCGCGACTCAAGTCCTTCTCGTCAAGATTTGGCCCAGCAACTCGCATTTGCAATTCGACGGACAGCAAAACATGCCCTCGCAAGCCGTCCGATGCACTACAGCTATGAAGAGTGGGTTGAATTCACGCGTCTAATCCGATTTACTGACAACAGTCCTGAGGGGGTGGTGCTTGATGAAGATGAATTCGGTGTGCTAAACTGGGATTGGATTGGAGAGACAAGTCCGATGCTCGCGTCGCAGACAGAGCCGGAATGGATCCTCGATCGGCTCTGTGAAAGCCTGATTCGATATGTGGATGGTCAAAGTCGAAGACAGCCTTCTGACCAGGATGAGAAACCTCTGGGTATAACCAACGGTGACCGGGATGCCGAAGAGCCTACATTGAAGAAGGAAAGAGACATCCGTTTTGAGGATGATTAGGGTCATTCAATTTGCTTTATATGCGCTTTTCGATTGAAATATAACTAAACTCTTTATACGGAATGACGCTCCAATAGCTCGTACCTCAGAACTAGACAATTCCACCCTTCTTCGGATCGTTGACTTCTTTCGTCAAACATGCTACTTTATCTGTAGTCAGCAAGTAGTTGGGAATCCGAGGCAGATACATTATTCAGAACAGATATAAGCCCATTTCCAGCCTTCAGGCTTTCTTCTGATGTTCTTATGGGATACAGAATCAAGCCAACAGGCGGTTCCCAAGTCACCTCAGGTAGGACAGTCCCAAATAGGAAATACTCGGCAACCCTCAGAATCCCTGGGGCCTGAGGAGAACAGCTTACCCGTTCGGAACAACCATCGGTCCGCTCCGCGTGTCAACTGTCAACGGTCTCCGCATCTCAAACCGATCTGTCTCTGTCCAATCGCTGCCTTGGTCGATAATTGTAGAGGTATCTGATTGAATTAGACGTCCGATGGGCTCACTGAGACAGAAATTTGTGTCAAAATAGGAGAAAGAAGATGGATACATTTGCGATCACGGAAGGCATCGTTCCCGAGAACAACAATCAAGATGGCCACGACGCCGAACGGGCCAGCTCAGAGCAACAGCTCCCAGAAGAAGCGAACAAGTTTCAACGTGCCATTGCGGCATGGAGAAGTACGTCACCATTTGATGGCCTTGTCTATCTTCAACCTCAAGGTGCTGATATCTCTACTCTATTAGGCATCGACTTGACTACGACTGTCGCAAAACTAGACGCTACGGCTTCGGATATTGTCGCTCAACAGCGAGATGCACTTATACAGAGAAAGGATCTAGCCCAGAAGACAAAGGATTTTCGAAAATTAGACGATGCTTCCAAGCTTGCGGAATACAAGGGTCTCCTGAGATGTCCGTCCTATCTCGGCCGCGATCAAATTGATCTTTCTAGCTAACATATGGTAGCATATCAGAGCTTCATTGATCTCCTGACCAATCACGGGAAATCCTCCTCATCTGCGTTTCTACAGCTCTACTCCTCTCTGTCGGAAGCTCCTGATCCTTACCCACTCCTTGAAGCCTCAGTCGACTCCCTTGTGCTCTCCGAGCAGACCGTCCCGAAATTGACGTCCGAGAGAGACCAATTGCAGAAATCTGTGAGTCGTCTTACAACCCAGTTGGAGGATACGGAAAAGCGACTACAGGAGGAACGAGCCGCGCGAAAGAATTTGGAGGACAGCCAGGAAACGAAGATCAAACAGATCGAGTCGTCTTGGTCCGCCGTGTTGGCGGAAAAGTCGAACAACTGGGCCGCCAAAGAGAAGAGCTTGGAGGAGAAGGTTGAAAATCAAGAGCGCTTGCTGAAGGAAGTCAAGGCAAGTTACGAGGTATCTCAAAGGCTGGGCCAGGAGAACGATGGCGGTGACGGCTCCCAACACGGGGCGACTGCTGCAGAGCTAGAATTGGTGTCTGCCGACTTGGAAAAGACGACCTTGCGACTAGCCGAGGTGGAGGCCCGAAACGAGCAACTCCGGCTTGAGCTGGCTCAAGCCGTTTCACATTCGCAGTCTACGCAGGCTACCTCGGTTGAGGACGATCCCGCTTATCTTCGCCTTCAGTCAGAAAACTCGTCCTTGTTGCGCAAACTGGATGCTGCGCGATTCGATCGGGAGTCTGAACGTCACGCATGGGAGTCGAGGCTCTCACAACTGGAGAGACAGAGCTCGAAGGCAGCTGCGGAGAGGGACGAGCTGCGGTCGCGGTTGGAAAAGACTGCTGACTATGAAGACATCCGCCGCGAGCTGGAGATGATCAAGGTAGGATCTATCCTATGGCAAGACAGCCGTACTTGCTTGCTGATTCTTCGTAGTCTATTGAGTTCTCTGCGGGCGATGGGGACGATGATGAGGCTGGAGATTCCACAGGCAATGCTAACGGTACCAACGGTGCCCTTTTGAAACCCAAGGACGGATCCAGCGGTAATAGTCTAGAGGGGCTGCTCTTGGCTCGCAACAAGAAGTTGACAGATGAACTTACCGTTCTTCGTGTGTCGCATCGTGACATCCAAGGTCAGCTTGAACTTCTGCGTGAGGATCTCTCAAATACCAAACAGGAACTGGAGAAGTCCAAGCAGTTATCCACAACTCTTGAGAATGATCTGCTCCGTGTACAGCAAGAGGCGGCGAACGCTTTCCCATCATCCGCAATGTCTGTTGCCGGTACCTACAGCTCGAGGTACCCCCACTCAACCAGGAGGGGAGCAGCGTCGCCAACATCGTCCATAATTTCAGGTTTTGATCAGGCGGCAGCGTCCTCCAATGCAATGGATGCTATACGCGCCGGGGAGCCTGTGGGTGGCGGTTCCGGTCTGCTGCCTATGATACAGGCTCAGCGTGACCGCTTCAAGAAGAAGAATGCGGAGCTAGAAGAGGAGCTGTCGAAGATGTACAGCACGGTCAAGTCCTTGAGGCAGGAGGTTGCTTCCCTCCAGAAGGACAACCTTAGCCTTTACGAGAAAACGCGATACGTCTCAACGTACAGCCGTGGCGGAGCCTCCTCGTCAGCCTCTGCCTATGCGAATAAACCCAGCAATTCCTCCGTCCATGTCTCCGCGGACACGCCTTCTGGTCTCTCACTAGACCGGTATCAGTCTGCCTACGAAGCTCAGCTATCACCATTTGCTGCTTTCCGAGGCCGTGAGTCGGTGCGGGCGTACAAGCGCATGAGCTTGCCCGAGAGGATCGTGTTTTCTATCACACGAATCATCTTGGCTAATCGAACCAGCCGAAACCTCTTTGCGGGGTATTGCTTTGCCCTGCATGTCTTACTGTTTCTAGTATTGTATATGATGAGTACCATGGAAATAGAAAAGCACAGTAGCGCCAGTCTGGGAGCTGCTGCCGCTGCTGCAATGGCTGGTGGAGGCGGGTCTGGGAGTAGCAGTGGCCAGCTACATCGTGATGATTGGCAGCAGGAGGGTTTCAACCATGCAGCTTAGTGGCCATCTGACTCCTTCTCTTCTTCTGTATTTTTGGCAGTCGGCGTCTACAGGGTCAGAGATGTCTAGTACTTCAGCTGAGTACTACCTTCTAATCTATTTGGTCTTTGTTCCCAATTTGAAGCAGTCGACAGCGTCGAAGGCTTTCAGGATCTGGATTCCATGCTACGGTCTCGTAACGACCTGGGGTGTCCGACACCCCTTGCTGCCATCCATGAGTACCTACTTCTTTAGCGATGTCTTAGCATGTGGTGGTGTGGGTCCACACGCATCGTAGCAGGCTTGGTTTCTCCTTACCCAGCATCGGACTGTGGCCCTCGATGAAAGGGTGCTAGGGTAGATAGAAATGATGAAAGTACCTGGCACTCTCGGCGGTCGCACAAAAAATATATCCAAAAAGAAAGGTGTTGTTGGCCCGAGCCGCGGATCGAACGCGGGACCTCTCGCAGATATGCTTGGGTTTATCCCTAAGCGAGAATCATACCACTAGACCACCCGGGCCACTATGAAAATAGCGGGCATTCTTAGTCCTCATGTTGCAAGACATAAAACTTACGCATCCCGAGTCTCTACTCTGTGTTGCTAGTGTGCTTAATGTGAGAAAAGGAGGTGTACTTATCGCAGCATTAGGAACTGAGTAGCTTGAGGACAATCACGCAGTAGCAATCAACTGCAGTCAATGTCACATTCGTTGGAGGCATTGATCACCTGGAATGTCTGCTTGATGTTTGCCCCGCGCCTGATATATTTCCCAAGAATAGCAAGTCTAAGCTAGCGGGTTAACATCGCCGTCAGCACACGACCGCTGGCCGATGAGACCAATTGCCCAATTACATTACTAGCAAAGGCGGAGGAAATACCCAGGTATCATCAAGAGCCCGGACCAATTGACACGAGTCAAGACCAGTCTCGTGGGTAATTGCAATCTGCCATTCTGCACACTAACCCAGGTTGGCATGACGCCTAAGCGCCGGCAATGTAAACCAGAAGATATTATTAGACACCGAAGGAGGCCGGGAATTTCAATGCCAATCAGCACGAGCATAACCCTGCTAGATCTCGTCAAGCGCATGCAAGCTCCGGCCGGTTAGAAATCGAGAAAACTGCCGAGTCAGATGCACCAATCTGCGCCCGAGGAGGACGGCTCTTCAGCAGGGCAAACCGCTCAGGGAGCATTCCATGTCTCAACTAGAATACCGTCCACGCTGAAGGATTCCACCAGCGCATACTGCTGCCAATAAGCGAGCTTCATGGCGCATGGCTATAGCAGGCGGCTTCAGCGATAATCTGACTCGAGGCTGTTAATAGATCTGACAAAAGTCGGGTTTCAAGCCTAAATTGCATGTTACTATAATTTCTTCAATGACATGCAGACAGAGGATCCGTGCAACTTCTAACAGACTTGCAGCCATACGAGCCTGCTGATTATATAGGATATTCATCCTGGCTCTTGAGTAGGGATGTTCTTACTCTCAGTCGGGTTCTTTGCTGTTCAATCTTGCTAGTGCGCGTTCTTCTCCCCGGCACGTCCTCTTTGTTTATTATGTTGTCCTGAGTGTCAGCGTAGATACCAAGGTCATTTTCTTTGTTGCATTCGCACTCAATACACTCCTACAACCCAATAATCTCCACTCTTCTTCTCATATACGCGGTACTCAACTGCATCTTGTCACCTCGACATAGCACCTAGCTGGACTAGGTTTTCTAGCGATCAATACCCCATTATAAATCACCAATATGCGGCCCTTCACCGTGCTCTTCGCCTTGCTGACAGCAACGGCCTACGCTGCTCCAGCTTTTTTCGACAACATCTATGACTACTCCGACGAGCTGGCAGAGTTCTACGGCAAAGTGAGCCATTATATCGACGATGCAAAGGATGTCTTCACTGCAACAACAACGTGCGATGCATCCAAGATAGCCTTACCGGCCTTTGCATCCGGGTTGCCCTCTCCCGGCAACCAGAAGCCGCTGTATGTCGCCGTTGGCCGCGGAACACAGGTTAGTAACAACTACACCTTCAGATCACACATTCGTTGCATGGCCAAGGTAGCTGACCCCACGCAGAATTACAGTTGCGCAACTTCAACCGCAGACTCGAAACCGGTGGCCATAGGTGCCGTCGCAAGTCTGTACAACGCAACATGCATTGCAGCAAGCTACTCCGGCATGATAGACCTGCTCCCTAACATCGCCTATAAGCTGCAGCTACCCACCAACTCACCGGCGACTCTACCTTATGCCAACCTCAATCTTCTTGGTCATCATTTCTTCGAAGATTCGGTCCCCGTTTTCAATCTCGATACAACTCCTCAACGACAGTACGGTATAGCCTATACAAAGAAGAAAGCCGACCTGGCTGCACCGTCTTCTGCAGTCCAAGGTGCCAATGGTGCGGTTGCATGGCTGTACCTGACGACCACAGAGGGCACAGTTGGGGATTACGAGAGTGTCTATCGGGTAGACACTGCCGGGGGATCACCGCCGAAGACTTGCGAGAACCAGCAGTCAGTAATTACAGTGCAGTATGCAGCGAATTACTATTTCTTTGGGAAGTGAGGTGGCGCGAGGATTTCTATTGTTTTGGCTGTTGAATCATGTACATACTCGTATGTTTCCTGGCTAGGATTCTTCTCACTTATGAGAATGAACTTGCGAGATAATCACGCTTGTGAGTATTCCATAATGCGAGATCTTGTAGCTCTCCCACCTGTTACCTACTACTGATGCTCAAGCACCGATCCAATTGGACGAGGGTTTATAGGAGTCAGGTGATCTCGCTATCAGTTAATATCACGTGACTAACATGTTCCCACATCAGCCAGAGCCCCGCTAAGCCGCTTTGGAATTAGCGGATTCTGATTTTCGAAAGATCCAAAGGCTCAGTCTGAAAAATCTCGACCGCAACAAACGACGAGCAGTACGGCCTCGACGGAACTCTGAAAGCAGACACGGTGCGGAATTTTCGCATATCTGCTACCTAGAGGCAATTTATCAACCTCGACTCACGGTTCTTTCCAATCGCAACGGGCTTAGCTGTCCTTTTTACACATCGAAACTTCTTTTTTTCTTCCATCTTCGCTTTAACAGCAGCTCCGCGATTTGATTCTCAGCCCTTTATCTCGGCTGTGAAAACGATTTGGATCTCTATATCTTTCCGATAATTATCATATCATAAACTACAATGCCATTCGGTGGTCCTAGAGGAGGTGGCCGCGGCGCTCCCCGTGGCGGTCGTGGTGCTCCCCGTGGAGGAGGTGGTGGTCGCGGTGGCAGAGGTTTGTTCATCCTCATATCCTCCATCTGGGGCAATAGGCAGGCATAGACCCATGGATCAGCTGTTTGGCTGTTCTGGTGGGATTGCTTCTACTGGAGCCAGAACTCTGAAGCTTCAATGCGGTCGCCTGTCTTACAGCGTTCCCTGTGGTGAACGGCAAGCTAATACGATATCTTCTTCATTTTCAGGCGGACTTGGAAGCGGTGGTCGTGGCCGTGGCGGTCCTCGTGGCGGCGGCCGTGGTGCCCTGCTCGTGGCCGTGGTGGTCCTCGTGGCGGCGGTCGCGGTGGTGCTAAGGGCGCCAGGGGTGGTGCCAGGGTCATCATTGTATGTGTCTTCTTTGACTGGGAGTGATTGATGGGTCTGGATACTAATAGGGGAATGTGTAGGAGCCTCACCGCCACGCCGGTGTCTTCGTTGCCCGTGGTGGTAAGGAAGATTTGCTTGTCACCAAGAACTTGACTCCTGGAGAGTCCGTCTATGGCGAGAAGCGCATTGCTGTCGAGTCCCCTGCCGATGAGGATGGCGCCGTCACCAAGACCGAGTACCGTGTGTGGAACCCCTTCCGTTCCAAGCTTGCCGCCGGTATCCTGGGTGGTCTCGATGATATCTACATGAAGCCTGGCTCCAAGGTTCTGTACCTTGGATCTGCCAGCGGTACCTCCGTCAGTCACGTCGCTGATATTGTCGGACCTACCGGAAACGTCTACGCTGTCGAGTTCTCCCACCGTTCTGGCCGTGACCTGATTGGCATGGCCACCCACCGCACCAACGTTATTCCCATCGTCGAGGACGCCAGACACCCTCTCCGCTACCGGATGCTCGTCCCCATGGTTGACGTTATCTTCGCCGATGTTGCCCAGCCCGATCAGGCCCGTATTGTCGGCCTGAATGCCCACATGTTCTTGAAGAACGAGGGTGGTGTCATTGTCTCCGTCAAGGCCAACTGTATCGACAGTACGGCCAAGCCCGAGGTTGTTTTCGCTCGTGAGGTGCAGAAGATGAGAGAGGAGAAGATCAAGCCCAAGGAGCAGCTGACTCTGGAGCCTTTCGAACGTGACCACTGTATAGTGTCTGGTATCTACAAGCGTTCTGCGTAAAAATTTGGGGTCTCATCTCTTTATCATGTTTCTAATCATCCCATGTTTGCTATTTTTCGGCGTCAAGTGTTCTGTGATATGTTGAAATGGCCCTTTTCTTTTTCTGGTTTATGTCCATGTCCAGGTGTCCGTTTTACAAATGTATTCTGTTCGAGTCGAAAAATCTTCCAGGTTTGCGGTATTCTGTCTAGAAAGAACACGCTTGGATGTTATTTCTTGTTTTTTTTTTTTAGTGTGAGACGAATGTGATGGTTCATTACACTCTCTTATCTCTTTCGAAGTATTATTTTTCTTCCATGCTGACTCAAAAGCTCATAATCCGCTTTGTTTCACAGAGTAATCTCCTATCGGACTTGCGCCGGGTTGACTCTTCCATGGAACGGGAGCAGTTCGGTCGGACAGGTCTCCGACACCTGGAGAGTCGGAACATCTGCGTGGATACCAATGGCTCAACAGAAACTGTCAGGTAATTCCCGCGATGTCCACAGCTAATGATGTTAAACGTTGATGGCGTCGGGACAGAGAAATAATGGTGGACGTGGGGGTATTCACACGTTCTCTCCACCGACCCCGCATACATAGACAGCATGGGGACTATATAAACCAGCAGCAACGGGATGAATTGCGGGTGGGAGATATAGTTATGAATGCATTATAGTGACCGGTTTTCTTTCTATTTTCTGGTCAACAGTACTTCCGATTCGGGATTAAGAACTCAACGCCTTCACCAATGTCTATCATCATCACTGGAGCAGGAGGATACGTCGGCCAGGAACTGGCTGCCGCATTGCTCTCAAGCGAACCCAATACTACAGTGCTCCTCACAGACGTCGTTGCACCCACAGTGCCCCCTCCGCCGCCGAACATGCATCGCGAGTCAAGAGCGTACAGGCAGACCTCACCATCCCAAGCGTGGTCGACTCGCTATTCAACGAGTCCCATCGCTACGATACCGTCTACCTCCTCCACGGAATCATGTCCAGCGGCGCAGAAGCCAACTTCGAGCTCGGGATGCGGGTCAATCTCGACGCAACGCGGTATATCCTCGACAGACTACGCACCACCATGCCGGGTGTGAAGGTAGTATTCACCTCGACTTTGGCCGTCTACGGCCTCGCGCCCCCGGGTTCGTCATCGACGAGACCAATTTCCCGCCTGTGCCCTCGTCCTCGTACGGGTCGGCGAAGCTCGTCATAGAGACGCTGCTGAATGATTACTCGAGGCGGGGGTTCATCGACGGTCGTGCCGTGCGATTGCCCACGGTGACGGTGCGAGCGGGCCAGCCCACCCAGGCTGCGAGCAGCTTCGCCAGCGATATCATCCGGGAGCCGTTCAATGGGAAGAAGGCGACCCTGCCGGTGAGTAAGAGTACTGAGCTGTGGATTTGTTCGCCGTACACTGTTGTGAAGAATCTGGTGCATGCGAGGACTATCCCCAAGGAGGCGTTTGGGGTTTCGAGGTCGGTGAATTTACCAGGTCTGAAGGTTAGCGTTCAGGAGATGTTAGATGCGTTGGAGGAGATTGGAGGCAAGGAGCGTCGGGAATTGGTGGAGGAGAAGTATGACGCGGATGTTGATCGGATTGTCCAGACGTGGACTCCTAACTTCAACACCGCGCGTGCTATCGAGTTGGGGTTCTCGGAGGATGTTTCGATGGTGGAGAATATCAGGCAGTATGCCAGTCGGTTTCATTGATTTCTCTACGGGATGATATCACAGTATGAGGACAATCGAGGCAATTCTCTTCAATTCTTTGCATTTCGTAAACGATTAATGTCACCCTAGCAAGACATAAACATAAAAATTGAATCCACTCGCAGGGGGGCAGATCTACGATATGCTCAGAATGGCATGTGGTTGTTTAGCTGGAGCTTTGTATGTGCTACATACATTCAACTTTAAACGAGGCTGATACACACAGAGCACTCGTCCTCAATTGGCCCCATATAAGTACGGCCGTGAGTGTTCGCCACACAATGCCAATGGAGGAGTACTTTGTGCCTTCCCCACAGGGTACCTAAACCTCCAAGGTGCCAGCACGAGCCGCCGTCCACCCCCCATTCTTTGGCCAGGCAGTCTGTCGACAGATCCGCTCAGGGTGTCAATGATCAGCGATTTCCGGAGGTAGTTAGAAGTGTGCAGGAACTGCCCTGGAAGAGGAGAATGCTAAACATATTACTAAGATGGGCCCAGAGCTCCGCTAACTACATATCAACGAGCACGCTTAGACACAGAGTCAATGTCGGGCAATGCGTGTGCACGAATCTCTCTCTGCAGTGAGTAAGGCATACCAGAGCATTGTGATTAGAGTTGTCATCTAGCCCATACCACATGCGCCAGCTAGGATATCCCCGGCCACGGGGCTCTGCTCCTGCTGGAGCATCCAGCTTGCTCCAGTCACCTGCCATGGCTTAAGCTGGGTGCCTGGCTGGTTCGTGTTGCTTAGTACGAACTGCGACATGGGTATGGCCGTCCTCGAGCATCCAGAATCATAGCACATGTCCAAGGTAAATACCTGCCCGTTGCCCCCGTAAGTGGGAGATACTCTCGCGACTATTTTGATCTTCTTAGCATGAAGCAGCATCAGACGAGGTGAATACATGCATTGGGCAATGGGACTAGAACAAGGAATAGTCAAACCTGAAACATGTGGCTGCCGGACTTTCGACCTGTCATATCAAGTCCAGTTGATCGTATCCGGCCATCAGGTCGTAATTAGGAGGCCCCTAAATGGATATAATTAGTTACTATATCACAAGGAGTAAGAGTTATAACTTACTTCGTACCAGCAAGGACCATCTTCCGACTTCATCTCCAACTCGTCGACAACAGCCCCACGCTGCAAGGACCATCTTCCGACTTCATCTCCAACTCGTCGACAACAGCCCCACGCTGAAAGTAACGGGGACTCATTACCAACCAATGCGTCTTGAGGGAATTCTGAGTGCCAATTAATCGCGGCCTGGAGGTTCTGTTCTTGGTCTCTCTTGCTATAGAATGTGGCCAGGAACTTCAACTCAGCGATTCGTTGGCCGTGCGTGATCGGCCACGTTGGGACCAGGTTCCAACGGTTTCTGCTCGTAGGAGGCTCGAATGTGAAGTTTCGATCCTCAGAGAGAGCAAAATTTGCAGTGCAGCATCCTTGGGAAGTATGAGGTTGACAGATTTTCCAGATATGGACTCAGAATTCAGCACAGCGCGTGCTATCGACTTCTATCGGGCTGAGATCAACGGTGTATGTGAACTAGAATCTAATCGCGGAAGAACGGATCTATGTAAGCAGTTGGAGAGAAGAGCAGTTTGATGAAGGTGCGAAGAGACTTCAATTGTAGCTTTTCTCTGCAAATTACAAGATTACGGAATGAATACCGAGGACAACAATCATGCCCGTCGAGCATGTCCTTCACAAACGTGCTGGAGCACGGTGGTTCTGCAGTGAAGGAAACAGTCGGGATGGAAGGCAGGCCGGTTTGGAAAAGCGGGTCATGTGATTGGCTGGTGAGAGCTGGCGAACAATTTGACTCCCGAACTTCAACCTCGCATCTCCAGGACTGCCCCATCTCTAGCAACCCGTCCTTCTCAATTCCTCCCTCTCCCTTCAGTCTCCCTCCAGTCTTTCACAATGGCCTCTCGGCGCCTAGCGTTCAACTTCAACCAGGCTCTGCGGAGCCGTGCTGCCTTGAAGGCCGTTCAGCCCGTGAAGCGTGGCTTTGCTTCTCCGGTCGCCTTGCCGTCCACCACCCAGTCGACGACTCTTTCCAACGGATTCACGGTACGAAAGAAAATTGAATTGCATCTCAATGGCTTCGCAATTTCGCTAATCAACCATAGATTGCGACTGAATACTCCCCATGGGCTCAGACATCCACTGTTGGCGTTTGGATCGACGCCGGCAGCAGAGCAGAGACTGACAAGACCAACGGAACCGCACACTTCCTTGAGCACCTTGCCTTCAAGGTATATACCCCGCGAACATTCAGGTAGTTGATCGGTTGCTGACGGAATTGCAGGGTACCAACAAGAGAACCCAGCACCAGCTGGAACTCGAGATCGAGAACATGGGTGCTCACCTGAACGCTTACACTTCGGTACGGCCCGGAACGATGATCGGATTGATATTTCATCAGGAGACGAATTGAACTAATTGGAGCTTTTTCTTAGAGGGAAAACACTGTCTACTACGCCAAGTCTTTCAACAATGATGTCCCCAAGGCCGTCGACATCCTCGCCGATATCCTGCAGAACTCGAAGCTGGAGCCCGCTGCTATCGAGCGTGAGAGAGATGTGATTCTGCGTGAGCAGGAGGAGGTTGACAAGCAGCTCGAGGAGGTTGTCTTTGACCACCTGCACGCCACTGCTTTCCAGAACCAGCCCCTTGGTCGCACCATCCTCGGTCCCAAGGAGAACATCCAGACTATCTCCCGGGATAACTTGACCGACTACATCAAGACCAACTACACCGCTGACCGCATGGTTCTGGTCGGTGCTGGTGGCATCCCCCACGAGCAGCTCGTTAAGCTGGCTGAGCAGCACTTTGGTTCCCTCCCCAGCAAGCCCCCCACCTCCGCTGCTCTCGCTCTCACCGCTGAGCAGAAGCGTACCCCCGAGTTTATCGGATCCGAGGTCAGAATTCGTGACGACACTCTTCCCTCTGCCCACATTGCCGTTGCTGTTGAGGGTGTCAGCTGGAAGGATGATGACTACTTCACTGCTCTCGTCGCCCAGGCCATCGTCGGCAACTGGGATCGTGCCATGGGCAACTCCCCCTACCTCGGCAGCCGCCTCAGCTCCTTCGTCAACCACCACAACCTCGCCAACAGCTTCATGAGCTTCTCCACCAGCTACAGTGACACTGGGTAAGTTTGTCATTTTTCAAAAGTATGGCAATGCTAGGTAAAATGAACTGATCGAAATATAGTCTGTGGGGTATCTACATGGTCTCGGAGAACCTGACCCGGCTCAACGACCTGGTCCACTTCGCCCTCCGCGAGTGGTCTCGCCTGTGCTACAACGTCTCCGCTGCCGAGGTTGAGCGTGCCAAGGCTCAGCTCAAGGCCTCCATCCTCCTGTCCCTCGACGGCACCACTGCCGTTGCCGAGGACATTGGTCGCCAGATCATCACCACTGGCCGTCGCCTCAGCCCTGAGGACGTTGAGCGCATCATTGGCCGCATCACCGAGAAGGACGTTATGGACTTCGCCAACCGCAAAATCTGGGATCAGGACATCGCCATCAGCGCTGTCGGTTCCATTGAGGGCATCCTGGACTACCAGCGCATCCGCAATGACATGAGCCGTAACTCCCTGTAAACGAAATTACCGGTTTTTCTTGATGTCTCAGAATTCATGGCCATTGCCTCCTGTCCAGTTATGTTTCCTTTGTTCCGTTGGTAGTTAATAGATCGAAGAGGTGGAAGTTGCGGAGGTAGCGTGTCCTGTACAGTACACAACTGTTGACTGATATACTCAAAATGTGTATTCTCTTTTACTTCAACTTACCGTTCCAATGTCCATTCGTAAGGCAGCTTCGCTCACAAACTGAGCATGATTAATCCTTTTATGACGACTGACACCAGTAGTCCAAGCCTTGGGGAGATGCAATAATGGTTATCACTTCACTTGTCTGATACACCACTGAAGACCATTATCGAACTCAATCAGGATTACCATTACTCTTATTACAATTAGCACTATTATGACTGAACCGACAAACCCTGACCGCAACAAACATTACTGGGGATAAGCCATTTCCGAAGGAGGCTGATACCCAACCTGAATATTATTCGACCGAACCTCAACCTCCTTCTCGTTCTGCACCAGCGTGCAGCAAGGGCAGAGGCAGGACTGCCAGCAATCTTGGAACGCGGAGCCCTGGATTCCAAACCGCTCACGGAGTTGGCCTCGTTTGATCATAAGCAGGACCCAGTAGAGGCCGCAGTAGCTGGAGAGCGCGTAGAGGCAGCACTATGGGTACAGATGGTGGTTAGTATCGTTGCTTGTTGTATGAGAAGACACTAGGTAGACAATGCATACATCGCCGTTGACGTATTTGTGCTCCTTCAGAGCGGGATCCTGGAGGCGAGATTGGGTCTTGCCGAACAGGCAGCATGGTGCACACCAGCCGACGAGACCTGAGGGATAAATGTCAGCAAATAGATGGTAGATGAGATATGAGGAGACGGAGGAGGTGGTCATTGAGAGGTCAAGGATCTCGTACAGGTTTCAGTGGGAGAGAAACAGTCCCAGAATGAGCTGGACCACTCATGATGATGCGGAGCAGCAGGGGCAGGCTGTTCGGGATTTTTGGTATCCATGATTGGGTCTTCTTCAAGTGCACCGACGGTTAAGAGTCCGGAAGATATGACCTTAGGACACCAAGTCCGAGGGGAAGCCAACAATTTAAACTGCAGCGATGGACAGTGCCTCAAGGGAAAGGGCTGTCGGGCAGGCTCAAAGCATCCTTTTTCTTTTTCTCTGCCGAGACACGGACGCTGTCGCGACTCGTGAAGATCCTTCAGCAGACTCTCAAGCCTTACCTGAACTACGGCCTGCTAGATGCAGGTCCCTGACCCCTCTGAATAAACTTCACGTTCTGCTTGGTCCAATGGTGGATGAAGTCAATACGCTAGATTCCATTGTGGACATGGCCGGGCCAGAAAACCCCCGTTTAACATCAGAGCTAGACAGTTAGCCTGCAATACTCTTTTTTTGGATCAGGCGATGTGAAAATCTCTCCTTGGCGACAAGTATGAGTTGAGGAGACCCACGAAACGGTGCTGCGTGCTGGGAAGAGCTGAACCCAAAACACGAGAACTAGCAGCGACTCCACAGCGTTAATCAGAGTTAACTATTTCTTTTGGGACAAACTTTGAGAGCAGTCAACTGGGACTGGATTCGAAGGAACTGATCAGCAAAAGTCTGTTCAAGTCTCGCTCAGAATGGATTAGATGAACGCCCAATCTCGTATCTCGTGCGGCTCAACCGCACAGGGGCTGTAGGGTTGACACATCAAACAGTTTAACGGGAAGTAGATAGGTTGGCATTTCCCTATACGGGCCTTAGAAAGACGATCCCGCTGATCTCGGCTAGTTTAAGTGGCCAGGTCAATTTCATCTTCATGGTTGAGCATTTAGGAGAACTGAAGGATCAGAAGGTTGTGTTAGGCACATTGTTTAGGGGGAGTGATAGGTATCTCTTGGAGTTCTGTGTCTTATATTGGGCTAGGGACGGATGAGAACAGTGACAAACATCGTCGGAAGTGTTCATTACAAGTCCCAGAGGTACGCAGTAACATCGAATACTCCCAGCAAGATTCTCATTACTGTCATCTTGAGGGCAAGTAGCGATGGAGTTCATGGGCGATGGATGTCGGAAAAAGCTCGGGATTTAGTCGAACATCAAGTTATCAACAAAGGCACCCCGATGCTGGTACCCGGCCATCGTCTCCCATTATTGCGGTAGCCTCTCCGATAAGACTTCACACCTCTAAAATAGGTCTTCAAACCAAGAAAAGAGTCGATGAAGTCCTTGGAAGTTGTTGATAACTTAATTGCTTATAGAGAGCATGACATAATCGATGCTCGGGCCGAGCGTTAATCCGAAGCGGGATGTTTTACTTTTGGAGCTCCGCCATGAAGAAATAATTATTGCTGCGCAAGAGCAGGCCGAGAATATCTTCGAGCCTCGGCTTCTCATCCTAATCATATCATTTGATCACCATGGCTAAGCGTGGTGGCAGAAAGGTGAGCATCCCCGATATCAATTGGTCTTATCTCGATCAGCGTGATTCGTCACAGCTAACATACCTTGTTGCAGGGTGGCCGTGGCGGCGGTGCGCGCGGGCAGCGCCAGAACTACGCGGATATTCCCAAAACGAATGAGAAGCTCGAGCGCTTTTATACTGAACAAGGCTTCATTCCGGAGGAGGAGAGAGAAGCATTCTGGGAAGCTCTGCGCAGGGACCTTCCCAACAGCTTCCGATTCACTGGTTCAAAAGGGTATGTCATGGCAGGTCGAAGTCTCCCATCTCCCAGCTGCATTAAACTCTGACATTTTGAAGACACGCCCTTGCTGTCCAGGAAAAGCTCAAGAATCACTATATTCCCGAAATCACCTCGATCCAGTATGAGGGTAACTTTGTCGAGCCGCCACGCCCAGTTCCTTGGTACCCGGACCAGCTCGCATGGTGGATGACCACCCCAAGAACGTTGTCCGGCGATTCAAGCCTTTCGCCTCGTTTCAGAAGTTCCTTGTCGCCGAGACGGACGTTGGTAATATCACTCGACAGGAGGTTGTGAGCATGATTCCTCCACTGCTCATTGACGTCAGACCTGGCATGACTGTTTTGGACATGTGCGCCGCACCGGGAAGTAAGTCAGCGCAATTGATGGAACTGCTTCATGCGGGAGAGGAAGATGCGATGCGCCAGGTCGCGCAGCAAGTGAAGGAAGGGACGGCAGCGCCGGAACCTATGGGGCCCGAGGGTCTCAACGACGATGGCAGAACCACTGGTCTTCTCATCGCCAACGATTCCGACTTCAAACGTGCACACATGCTTGTCCATCAGATGAAGCGACTGAGCTCCCCGAATCTGATTGTCACCAATCACGACGCTACTATGTATCCCTCCATCAGACTGCCTCCTCTCCCAGAGCAAGACGGCAAGCCCCAGAAGAACAGATACCTGAAATTCGACCGCATCCTTGCCGATGTCCCTTGCACCGGTGATGGTACTGCCAGGAAGAACATTAGCGTGTGGAGAGAATGGGGCCCTGCCAACGCCCTGGGTCTGCACGCTACACAGGTTCGAATCCTTGTTCGTGCTTTGCAGATGCTGAAGGTTGGTGGACGGGTAGTCTACTCCACTTGCAGCATGAACCCTGTTGAGAACGAGGCTGTCGTTGCTAGTGCTATTAATCGCTGCGGAGGCTCGGCCAACGTTGAAATCCTCGATTGCAGCAATGAATTGCCCGGACTGAAGAGAGCTGCTGGCGTGCGCACATGGAAGGTTATGGATCGTGAGGGCCGTATGTACAACAGCTGGAAAGAGGTCGAAGAGCAAAGGGAGCGTGAAGGCATCAACGGCCTGGGCCGGATCGGCGAAGGCATGTTCCCGCCTACCGGAGAGAATGCGGACTTGCCTCTTGAGAGGTGCATCCGCGTCTACCCTCATCTCCAAGATACCGGCGGTTTCTTCATCACTGTTCTCGAGAAGAAATCTGAGATTCGCGCCAAGCCGGAAGACTCCTCTAAGGTCATCCCCAAGGCCTCCATTGCAGCTCTGACTGAGGAGCTGGATTTCAAGCAGAAGCATGGAAACACGCGCCCTCTTGAAAAGCTCGACGCCTTAGACGACCTGGTTGCCCCCGATAAAGATGCCCAGTTGGAGATGGATAAGAGCGCTTCTGTTGCTGAAGCGACACACCAAGTGCCCTACTTCGCAACGAACCAGATTTCTCCTGCAAAGAGAGATGCAGAGGACATGGCAGAGGACATGGAAGATGAAGTCCCATCCAAGAAGACTAAGGTGGAGGATGGTAGTGAAGTAGTACTGGGCGATCGTCCAATCCACCGTCCTCCGCCCGAGGCAGAAGACCCTGACGTCTCCGAGAGCACCCCTGCTCCACTCCCTACGGAGACCCCTCAGCCTGAGTCAACCGAGACAAAGCCCCAGCCTCCGCAGAAGCGGAAGCCGGGCCAGCCGATTGAAGAGCCATTCAAATATCTGGATCCCAACAATGAGGAAATCGACCCGATTTTCAAGTTCTACGAGATCTCCGATCGGTTCCCACGTGACCGTTTCATGGTCCGCAACGCGCAGGCGACCCCCACGAGGACTATCTACTACACCAGTGCATTGGCGCGTGACATCCTGATAGCTAACGAGGGACATGGCATGAAATTCGTGCATTGCGGTGTGAAGATGTTTGTCAAACAAGATGCACAGCGTCCCAACGTCTGCCGCTGGCGCATCCAGACCGATGGGTTGCGCATCCTTGAACCCTGCGTGGGCCCTGGAAGGGCTGTCGTCCTGACCAAGAAGGAGACCTTGCGCAAACTCCTCGTAGAAATGTTCCCCAAAGTTGCCGATGATGGCTGGAAGGATCTTGGCGAGATTGGCGAACGTGTGCGGGATATCGAAATGGGCTGTAGCATTTTGTATGTTCAGCCGGAGGAGAACTTTAGGTATGTCAAATCACTTTCATATAGCGGCAGGATCTCCCTACAATCACCATCACCATCACCATCACCACCACCACCACCGCTACACCTCCAACTCCGTCACCACCAACAAACAACAGATGACGCTACCACCGAACCCCCATCATCCCCAACTCTCTCCACCCCACATTTTACCTCTCCTTTCCCCCTGCTGTCCCCCCTGCTGTCCCCTGGCGTCTAGTTGTCCATCCATCACTATCAAACTAGATGACTGATTTGTGTCCAACAGTGAACACATGGTGCTCCCTCTTTGGCGGTCGGTGCATTCGGTCAACCTCATGCTTCCCAAGGAAGAGCGCCGCGCTATGCTCCTACGTATATTCAATGACGAGCCTCAGCTTTTGAACATTACTCAGCAAGGCACGCCTCAGTCGTCCACTCCAGTAGTCGAGACGAATGAGGAAGACGTGTCTGGCATGGCTCCTACGGAAGCGGAAGAGAATGCCCTGAAGCAGGAAAACCTTGCAATAGGCGAGGATCAGCAGGAGCAGGTTGATACTCGGGAGACGTGGACCAAGGCCGGCGACGAAGAGGACCGGTTTAACACAACTGTATAAATATCGCCATGACGAGTGGTGCTTCACATTTAGTCTTCAACCCGGTGTTTGGGAAAAGAATCAAGTTTAAGCTTTTATTCTCTTGTCCGAGCCAGGACCTCAAGTCGACACTAGAAGTCTCACTGACGACGAATAAGCCCATGTGTAATATCCTTCAGTATTCATCGAGAGAATATTTGCTTGCATATGTCGAACGGAGCGAGCAGTCTGCCTAGTAGGACCTTCGAAGTTTAGACCAAGTTCTAGGTACATATGCCTTGGAGACCAGAACAGGGTACGGTCCATTCAACCACAACTCTTGACATCTCAACGCAAGGTTCCGTGGCTGTCGTCGTTGCATTTGCCATGAGCAGGGCCAGATGTTCATGGTACTTTCTTTGACACCAATGATTTGTCTTATGCAGAACTTGATTTTCGAATGTACAGCGATGACCGGCACCCTGGCATTATGCCGCTGGAAACTTGTTCGAGTCCCGCATCTATGCTTGGCACTAGTCTACTCACGAAGCCAGGTTAGATTGCAAATTTAACCGACGGGATAAAATGCGTATGCATCGCAATAGTCGCACTGGTTGCGTATTTTGCCGAAAAATCGCCGGATCTGAGAAGTTTGGAAGCGAAGGGAAGGGGGATTGGGGATTGCTTCTGGCCGGCCGCTTCACTCTCGAACGATGGGCATGAGATAGATATGTAGCGTAAGGTATACTGTCAATTCACTCTGCCTCTGCACTACGTTCAACACCAGGATTCAGTGGACGATTGCTGCTCTCTTGTTCTCTGCCAGTCTTGTCAGAGGGGAAACAGACCCTCAATCCAAGCGACTGAGCTTTTGGGATTGATTAGACTTAAGGGACTCTTGCCGGAGATAGGTACCAAGCTCCCAATTTAGCAAACAAATCAGCCACTTGCATCAATCATGCAATCAGAGAACGGTCAGACTACGGAGGAGAATAGAAGAGAAAGAACTTAGCAGATTCTGGACTCCACATTGTACACTCCACTGAGTCCACCGAGTCCACCGTGACCCGCAAGTCCGCTTCCTCTACAGCCGTCCGAAAGCTTGGATTACACTGACCTGGAGTCAAGAGGACCCTGATGGAAATCATTGCAAGAGAATATCAGCAGCAATGGAAAAAACCTCGTCATTGAATGTTGAATCGTTACTCGTTCTGACCGAGCATGTCCAGAGGATTCAACTGTCCCTTGCATGAGTCTTGGAGTCTGGACAAGCGAGATGACAGAGAATCGATACGGTGATTATGCAAGTGAATGCGGCCCTGCCACTGCATCATCGTCATAATGCGAGTCAATTGCAAGACTCGGGGCATTGACTATCGCATCATTCTCCGGCATGTCTCCGATATGAGGAAAAATTGCAGGCCGTTGGCCCCGCGTTATCGCAAACTGCACTAGTTTGTTGACTTTAATGTGGAGGATCGTCGGCCCAATTTCCGCTCCGAATCAAGTGCAAAGACATCCCCTGCGACTTCTCTCCTCCACAATAAGGGCAGCTCACTTAGTGCCTCTCGCGATCCCTGCATCGCCACCTTCCGGATTCGACTCGTCTCCGCCTCGGTCTCTGCTAGCACGAATGATGCATGCATACAGCGAGGCCGTGGCAGATCTGTTCTGGTCTCTTTCCAAGGGCCCACATCGCCTCTCCACCGGTTTGTTGTTGTGCTTGATGAGCAATGACGATAGGCACGGTGCAATGGGGAGACTTGTGGATGGCTAGGATCGACATTTCTCTCATTTTACTTCTCGGAGGATCATGCGGGGTGTCAATTCCGTCATATATTAAGCCGAAGCTCCTGCCCCCCTGCAGTCAAGCTGCCAGCTCTTAGAAGACCTTGCATTCCCTCCCTTGTAAGCTTCATTCTTCTGGTTTACTCTTGAAGAAACACTATGAAGCTTCTCTCTGTCTGCGCAGTTGCCTTGCTGGCAGCCCAGGCAGCGGGTGCTTCCATCAAGCACAAGCTCAATGGCTTTACTGTTATGGAGCATTCGGATCCTGCAAAGCGGGAATTGTTACAGAAATACGTATGTGAGATCGGAAACTCGATACTTGATCAATGCGTACTCAGACGTAGCTCTAGGTCACCTGGGATGACAAGTCACTGTTTGTCAATGGCGAGAGAATCATGATTTTCAGCGGCGAAGTTCACCCTTTCAGGTACGTACCAAATTTGGTGATCTACTCTAGATTGCTACGGAACGGAGGTTCTTACATTGTGTAGACTGCCAGTTCCTTCGCTGTGGCTCGATGTCTTCCAGAAAATCAAGGCCCTGGGGTTCAATTGCGTTTCATTCTACGTCGACTGGGCCCTCCTCGAAGGAAAACCCGGCGAGTACAGGGCTGAAGGCAACTTTGCCCTCGAGCCTTTCTTTGACGCGGCTAAGCAGGCAGGAATCTATCTCCTCGCTCGCCCTGGTCCTTACATCAATGCCGAGGCTTCGGGCGGTGGTTTCCCTGGATGGTTGCAGAGAGTGAAGGGAACCCTGCGAACGTCCGATCCCGCGTACCTAAAAGCTACTGATAAGTATGTGACTTACGATTGCTTTATAGTCTCAAAAGCTGCTAACTCTGGATTAGCTACATTGCCAATGTTGCTGCTACTGTTGCCAAAGGTCAAATCACAAATGGGGCCCGGTCATCCTCTATCAGCCGGAGAATGAGTACAGCGGTGCGTGCTGTAATGCCACTTTCCCCGACGGGGACTACATGCAGTATGTCATCGACCAGGCTCGTAACGCTGGTATTGTCGTACCCTTGATCAATAACGATGCCTGGGCTGGAGGACACAATGCCCCTGGGACGGGCAAGGGAGAGGTTGACATCTATGGTCACGATAACTATCCGTGAGTCCAAGTTCCACCTTCTGCAAAGACAATTCTAACTTGCTTGGATCAGGCTAGGATTTGACTGTGTAAGATTGAGTTTTCTTGAAGCTTTAAGCCATTCTAATGGAACCAGGGACACCCAAGCGTTTGGCCCAAGGGTAACCTGCCAACTACTTTCCGGACGGATCACTTGAGGGAGAGCCCGACAACCCCGTACTCTCTTGTTGAGGTGTGTGATCTCATGTCTTTCGATCCGGACATTACTAAAAGTCGTGAAGTTCCAAGCAGGCTCCTTCGATCCATGGGGTGGACCCGGCTTTGAAGCATGCGCCGCCCTCGTCAATCATGAGTTCGAAAGAGTCTTCTACAAAAATGACCTGAGTTTTGGAGCTGCTATCCTGAACTTGTACATGGTATGGAAAGATCCTGCTTACGATTGACCAGCGCTGACACGCTTAGACCTTTGGCGGCACGAACTGGGGTAACCTTGGCCATCCCGGTGGATACACGTCCTATGATTACGGATCGCCGCTGACCGAATCTCGCGATGTCGCTCGAGAGAAGTACAGCGAACTCAAGTTGATTGGTAACTTCGTGAGAGCCTCGCCGTCTTACCTTCTGGCTACACCTGGCAATTTGACTACCTCCGGTTATGCCGACACTGCTGATCTGACCGTCACTCCTTTGCTTGGCAATGGCACTGGATCGTACTTTGTCGTCAGACATACGGATTACACCAGCCAGGCATCCACCCCGTACAAACTCAGCCTCCCAACCAGCGCTGGAAAGCTCACAGTTCCCCAGCTCGGCGGTACCCTGACGCTCAATGGGCGTGATTCCAAGGTTCATGTTGTGGACTACAACGTCGGGGGAACCAATATTCTCTACTCGACGGCCGAAGTCTTCACCTGGAAGAAGTTTGGGGACAGCAAAGTTCTCGTCTTGTATGGTGGACCTGGGGAGCACCACGAGCTGGCCGTTTCACTCAAGTCCGATGTCCATGTCGTCGAAGGATCTAATTCAGAATTCACTTCGAAGAAGGTTGGGGATGTTGTTGTGGTCGCCTGGGATGTGTCGTCTTCCCGGCGTATTGTTCAGATTGGCGACCTCAAAATCTTCCTGCTGGGTAAGTATTCTGCCTGTGATTTTACTCCTCAAAGCTGATTCCGAGTAGATAGGAACTCTGCTTACAATTACTGGGTGCCGCAACTTGACAAGGACGAGTCGTCAACGGGCTACAGCTCCGAGAAGACTACTGCTTCATCCATTATTGTCAAGGCTGGTTACCTTGTGCGGACTGCTTATACTAAGGGCTCCGGCCTCTACCTTACCGCCGATTTCAACGCAACTACCCCAGTTGAAGTGATTGGAGCCCCATCAAATGTCAGGAACTTGTACATCAATGGCGAGAAGACCCAGTTCAAGACCGATAAGAATGGTATCTGGTCTACCGAGGTCAAGTACAGTGCTCCTAAGATCAAGATTCCCAGCATGAAGGGTCTGGATTGGAAGTATCTCGATACTCTGCCGGAGGTTCAGTCAAACTATGACGACTCTGCGTGGCCGGCTGCCGACCTGGATACCACACCTAACACCCTGCGACCCTTGACCACGCCAAAGTCTCTGTACTCGTCAGACTATGGCTTCCATACCGGTTACCTGATCTACCGCGGTCACTTTGTTGCCGACGGCAGCGAGACTACCTTTGACGTGCGCACGCAAGGAGGCTCGGCCTTTGGCAGTTCCGTCTGGTTGAACGGAACATTCCTCGGCTCATGGACTGGTCTCAATGCGAATGCGGACTACAACTCGACCTACAAATTGCCCCAGGTCGAGAAAGGCAAGAACTATGTCCTCACTGTTGTCGTTGACACAATGGGCCTCAACGAGAACTGGGTCGTCGGCACGGACGAGATGAAGAACCCCCGGGGTATTCTCTCCTACAAGCTCTCCGGCCGCGACGCCTCCGCCATCACCTGGAAATTGACCGGAAACCTCGGCGGAGAGGATTACCAGGACAAGATCCGCGGTCCTCTGAACGAGGGTGGATTGTATGCCGAACGGCAGGGCTTCCACCAGCCCGAGCCGCCCAGCAAGAAGTGGAAGTCAGCTAGTCCTCTCGAAGGGTTGTCCAAGCCTGGCATTGGCTTCTACACCGCTCAGTTCGATCTGGATATCCCAAGCGGGTGGGACGTGCCGCTCTACTTCAACTTTGGCAACAGCACAAAGTCAGCTTACCGGGTTCAGCTGTATGTCAACGGGTACCAGTACGGCAAGTTCGTCAGCAACATCGGCCCCAGACAAGCTTCCCCGTCCCGCAGGGTATTCTGAACTATCAAGGAACCAATTGGGTGGCGTTGACTCTGTGGGCCCTCGAATCGGATGGTGCCAAGTTGGATGACTTTGAGTTGGTGAACACCACCCCGGTGATGACTGCCCTATCAAAGATCCAGTCATCAAAGCAGCCAAACTATCGTCAACGGAAGGGAGCTTATTGATAGATGTCATCAGTGTCAAGTGCAGAGTGCGTCAGGACGATAGTCGAGTACTACAATAAAACTGCTGTACATTCACCTTTTTTATCCAGTAATTTCTTCCGTCTGTACGGAGTACACAGGTATTCGAAAGTAATAATTTGTTGCTAGCTCGCCAAAAGAAAATGTAGTGTAAAAAGGTACGGATCCTCCCGAGGTGCCCATGGCCCACCCTCCCCAGCCACCGCATAATCGGGACCCGTCCGCTGTCCGCTGTACCCTGTACATCATGCATCTCACCCACGCCGGAGCATTTTCCTCTCCTCCTTTCTCAATGTCACTGTTATTTCAGCCGTACTCCGTCCTAAGGGAGCAACTCGATCGCAGTCGCGGTTAATGCCCCCCCCCCATGTCGCTTGCACAAACATCATACGCATACAAATACCCAACCCACCCAAACAATCACTACCATTACCAATTACCGCGGAGCACACAACTACAACAACAAACCTAACCCTCCAACACTCTCACGCAACCATAACCCACCCTTCAAAATACCCAAAGAAGGGGAAAGCGATGACCCCCCTCCGCCGCTACACAACAGTCTCCATCCCCGCCTCCTACGGGCGTCTCGACGACAGCCCTTCCCCCGGCACCGTAGCAGGAATCGTCCTAGGCAGCGTCGCAGGCTTCATCTTCCTCCTCTACCTCGCCTACCTCGGCCTCGGACTGAACAACAAACCACCCCCCGACGACGTAGAAGTCAGCACCGTGTCGATGTCGACGACGACGGAGTCCGCGCTGGGGAGGCGGGTGCGGCGGGCGCGCCGCGGCGGGGAGGAAGAATCGAGGTGGTGGAGGAGGAGGAGCGGCGCAGACGGCATCCGGATGACGACCATATTGTGGTGGAGGAGTCGATGACGAGTGCGTCGAGGACGGATGAGGGGGATGTGGTGGAGGTTTTGGAGGAGCCTTCGTCGGTTGATGGGCCGGTGGCGCCTGCGCGGTCGAGGTCGAGGAGGAGTCGGGTGTCGGGGTCTTATCGGACGGTTGATCCGTATGAGTATGGGGGTGAGAGTTCGTATGATGGGCGATGATAAGGAGATTAAAGGTGGATTGCATTTGTGATGTTGTTTTGGATACCCTTGATTTGATGCATTATTATACGATAATAACTTTATGCTGTGCGCTGGATAATGAGTTACGAAGCCATGTCATGTTATGATTTATTTACAAGGCGCTCCTATTGAACACGGTCAGGCTGGTTCGTGAGATGTGGGTTTCAATCCTTACGAATAGTAAAGGAAAAAATAATATTGACAAGAATAATAAAGACTCCTCGCCTTAGGCAACCAACAAATGGGGAACAATGAGGGAATGAACGACAGAGGATCCACACAAAGGAGATATGACGAGTCCCGACCTGATAATGCTCCGTATCCGTTCCAGCGCCGTAGCAGAATAGTCAGAAAATGATGGACAGAAAGGTATTCGAGCAGAAACAGAATGTTCAGGGCACTTTGCCCTCAATTATAAACGGCCCAAGTCGCTTTTCTTCATACTGCTTAGAACAGAATATCCAAGCAGCAACAGCATGCAAGAGCGGCCATGATACCGGCACAAATGCCACCGCCTGAGGACCTTCCCCGGTCTTCCGGATAGTAACCTTGCTGCTGTTGCGGGTATCCTTGCGGAGGATAGTGCATAGGTTGACCCGGGGGAGGCGGCGAGCCGTAACCGCCGTATCCTTGCTGGGGAGGGGGGCCGTAGTTCTGGGGAGGGTAGTAGCCGCCTTGGTTGTAGTAGTCTTGGTTTGCGCCAGCAGGAGGAGGTGAGCCGGGGTGGCCGTATGGGCCAGCGTCATGAACGGGCGCAGGATATGAAGGAGGAGGGCCGTCCTAGAGAGTACACGTTAGATGTCAACCAACGCCGAGTCGCGAAGAAATGGAAGGAGTGAGTGTGAGAGATATAGGGAACTAACCGGCTTGTTGTATGACATTTTGATGCTTGTTTAAAAGTGACGAGTTTCTCAGTATAGTCGAATTATCAAAATGTACAGCTAATAGAGGCCGAAACTGTGAATCACTATTTCCAATAGACTTCTCAGGTGTCGAGTCCAGAGAGAGTATTCCGCGAGCGGTTGGAGATTGCCGACAGCTGTCAGCTAGTTGCAAGAGACCGGATAAGGAGATATTTCGCTGCGTTGATATGGAGCGTCGCGCTGCCGATACGAGATATGGTAAAGGAAGAAAATTGAAAAGGAGGGGCAAAGGTGAGGATTGTTAAGAATATCAGTCAGTCAGATGAAGTTAACAAGTCCTCCAAGAAGGAGGCGCCCCAAGCACTTGGCGCGGATGGCACGGGATCTCCGGATTCGGCAGGTCTGTGGCTGTACCTATAGTATTTATCACGCTTTTTAGACGATGACGATGACAGCTTATAAACTACTGACAGACAGGAGCCGTGCTTGTTTTATAGACATTTCCAGAACGACTATGACCACCCCAAAACTGTATCTCAATCTCTGGTTCGACAGAACGGAGCCATTCCAAGGTCGTAGGCATCCATGTAAAGTCAACTCCGGCACCGCCACCTTTAATTCGTAATGCATTCATCCACCCCTCCTTGCGCTCTGGACATTGGCTTTCGGCTTTCGGCAAGTCAGTCTATCTCTTCGATGATTAGTAGTTACTAGTACTAAGAATATGGACTTCTCAATCCATTATCATGAACGAGGCTGCATGTCATATATTTGTGTGCCTCAGGCATAGTGGCTTACTAACTGATTCCATAGTCGCTAGTTAACTAAGTGCTGGCGCTTATCCCCTTGACACACAGAGCTCTAAATAGCTTGCAAGACCTCGAGAAAGAAATGTGAAATATAGGTATATCCTCGTATCTTATTTGAACTAAACAGTCTTGGATGTGGTCAAGCAGCGTATGTTGAATGGTCTCCAAACATATAGTCTAAATGATTTGAATATCAACGGGCTCTGACGCCGGTACCACAATCAAAGGTCGCCCATTATTATCACTGGGGTTTAGAATTTTGGGCCCGATCCAACAGGGCACTGTTAGTTTGGTGGACAAGTGAAAGCAGTCTGGCAATACATCCATCCATCGCTGGGGCCGCCCGGAATATGTTCAATGAAGCATGATTCTTCAGTAACCCATGGCGAAAGAGGAGGCCGTGTGCTTTTGGGAAGCTCAATCTGCTTCAAGTCTTCAGGGGTATGATGAAGAAAATGAAGGCGAAAGGCATGGGCTGTCTCTATCATCAACGCGGCTTAAGGTGACTTCGAACAGATATGGGCTTCTCCGCAACAGCTTCTCAGGGCCTTATAGCTCGAGGAAAATTGCCGGCGTACCTGGGCTACAGGAAGTCAACCCGCTGCTGCTCTGGCCAGGCTTGGGGCTGAGAGCTCACAGGCGGTCTTTCTGTGTCCATCGCAAATACGGAGCCAAGGACTCGTCCATTATCGGTTGTTTCCTCTGCTTCCTTGGGCAGCAGCAGCAGTTCGGGTGGAGGGTGGTATTAGGAATCTACCCAGGCACCCCTCCTGGGAAATGGGACTAGTATAGAGGAGAATGTTGAACCAGGCTCCATCTTGTAGCCGTATTATCCAGCCAAGGCTAGTGGACAACCTGATGGAGACGAGACCCTTTTTGGTCGCTTAGAAGAAGTACTTAGACGGTCGGTGGAGACCAGAAATTTCCCGCCGATCCTCAATTAAGTTTAGGGGTAAGCCTCCAGTCCGGGCGGCGCGATCTCCAATCTCCAGGCTTCCCCACGACGAGCTTAGCCTGGATCATTAGCCGGTGCGCTCAACTCCCACTTGAACACATTGAGATGGTGGAGATATACTATCAAGAAATCGTGACAGACACCCCCTGCCATACTAGTTAGAATCAATCATACCTGTTAGGATTCATTTACTTTTATATCCATGTAAAGGTGTCGGATCCTGAAGTGCTCTGGAAGATACCAGGCGTTTCATCCCCGGAGTGCGGGCATGGCTTTGTATCGGACGCGATTTGGGCCGCAAGATTGGAGGTTGACAAGGACCTTCTTTGATAACATCTTGCGAAGGTCTACGCAAAAGGTCTCTTTTGGCTCTGTTATATGTGTATATAAATTTACTCAACGAGAATTTAGACCCTAGAACCCTATAGCAGGCAAAGTAAACCTGGTAAGTGACTACGAGAGTGCAGCTTGCAAGAGTGCGTATAGTTACAAAAGCAGTTATTATCGCGTCTTGGCTCAATGGAGCTAGGGAACAACTAGCTTGGTCTGCTAATTTGACGCTAAAAGCAGATGTCCACGGCTCGTCTCCTAAAAGACGTAAGGTAGAGCCTGAGTGTGCTCGGTGGTCTGCTCTTCCCAACGGTGACTGTTCGATATGCTGCTTACCATTCTCAGCCTGTGTGTTATCCTCCGTAGCTAAACCAGAATGTAGCTCCCCGCTGTATGACTTACATCTAAGGCAGGATTGTGCTTCTTCTGACCTTCGCGTCTTTTAGACCTCAGATTCAACATGTCTGGCGGCGCAGGGATGCTAAAGGAATCTCATCTTCCTACCTTTTGTTCAATCTGATTTGCGCCACAGAACATGTCTTTTTGGCTTCTTTTAGATGGTCAATATGCGCGAGTGGCCAGGATACTGGACCCATCTCCCAATAACCGTCCTTGACTGGGTCAACTGCGTCCAGTTAACAGGTGTCTGGGTACTATTCAATGCCTTATGAGCTATCTATGACCATCAATGTGATTAGAACTAAACAGGATACATAGATTCCTTCTCTCTCTCTATTTCAAACCTATCAGCCACCTCTGAAAGGCCCAGCTCATAGCTATCTACATCTTCTTCCTCATCATCTCTCTTGTCCCACTGATCATAGACGCCATAACGGACGTCTTCTGTCCCCCCGACAAGCCAAACTGTCCCGAGTACGATCGTGACCCAATCGCATTATTCGAGGGTTACCACCTCTTCGCCCTCGTCCCAGTTATTGTCACGCTCTTGATTTTAGGCTTGTACAAACAAGCTCGAGCATCCTCGCTTAACCTCAGTTCACCCGGGCTCAAACTCCAAGCAATGGTCTTCATGCTCTCGGCTGCGTCCTGGGTCCCGAGGCTTGCTTTCCCGTGGAAGGCGTACCTGGACCAGCCGCAGGAACGTGTACCTATCTACTTGGTGATTCCCGCTTGGTGGCAGATGATCGGGTTTTTGGCTGTTGATGAGGCTATGTTTGCTCTTGGGCAGGGGATCTTGCTGTGGGTGGCTTTGAGGCGGGAGAAGCGTCTTGCGGCTTCTGATGCGGAGAGGAGGCCGGCCGTTGTTGGGGAGTATGCCAACGGCTGCAAGCTAGGGGCTGGTCGGTTATGACTTGTTGAGGATTACATGGCTGAGGCGTATTTTCAGCCAGGACTTTATAAACATAGATGAAGAGCTGGACTTGATGCAAAAATACAAGAGACAATAACTATGCAAATTGCGTTCAATTTCCTTACAAAGATGTGGTTGGGTTGTAGGTGACGGCCAGCATGCTGTAGAAGAGGGTATCGCATTGCGGTGGGCAACGTTCAGATTACATGACAACACCTCGGTCGCGCCCATCCTCCACGCGTCTTCTCTGCACGCTGGATGTTGGCACAATATGTCGTGGTCATTCCCAATTTCCCTTGATCGCCCATATAAATCATTACTGACTGTCTTTGCATTCTGGAAAACTCTTCTTCTTTTCCTGGCTGTCTTCAGCCCTGGCCCTGGATACGACACTTCAACCACGCTTCGGTTGGACCGTAATGCAACCAATGCAGTCGGCGATGGCCCATTTACAGCGAGCTTGCGCCTGGTTTCCACCAAGCTGACCAGATGGGACGCTATATATTTCACCGAGGTCGCAAGCCGGGGCTATATTTTCGAGCAAGAATGGGCTTTCGGTTATGGCTTCACCAAGCTCATCAATTTCTTTGCCAGTGGTGAGCGCCTTTTAACCTGTTGCACACTGGCCGACTAATCAATTACCCAGCTCTCCAAAAGACAGGCGCTGTAGACTACGCATTTAGGGAACACATCGCTGGTATTATCATAGCTCATGCAGCTCATGGCCTGTCGGTGCTAGTCCTCTACTATCTGGGGTGTGCCATATTTTCCGGAAGGCAGGGTCGCATGCTGGCATTCGTCGCGGCCTGTTTACATATCTTCTCACCTGCTGGGCTCTTCCTTTCGGCTCCGTACGGGGAGAGTACTTATGCTCTCTTGTGCTTCGCGGGCTCCTTTCTCTTCGTTCAGAGCCTCAGCCCGTCGGGGCTTCCACGGGTCTCAAAGATGCTCTCATTCCGCTAGCGGGTATCCTGTGCGGATTAGCCACGACTGTTCGCAGCAATGGGATCCTCAACGGCCTGCTGTTCCTCGAAGAAGCAATCAGAGTGCTCTATTCCATGACCGGGGGTATCACCTTTGCAAAATCTCGCCGGCTACTCGCCGTGGGCATAGCTGGTGTCTGCACGGGTCTTGGTTTTGTGATACCGCAGTACATTGCTTACCGGGATTTCTGCGTCAATTACCCCTATACGCACTATGAAGAGCCAAGGATATGGTGTCGTAGGACTCTTCCATCTATCTACAGCTTCGTCCAGGACCATTATTGGTATGTTTCCCACTTGGAATCGTTACGCCGCTAACTAAACCCCATAGGAACAATGGTTTTCTCCGGTACTGGACTGTGTCCAATATCCCCCTGTTTGCCTTGGCCAGTCCAATGCTGGCTATCATGACCTATTCTGCCCTTTGGACTCTCAACGTCGAGGCGGGCAGACTGACGGGAGGAGGCTGCCTATTGCGCAGCCTGGCGGCTCCTCAGCTCATCCTGGCGATCCTGACACTCGCAAAACATCATGTCCAGATCATTACGCGCATGTCTTCGGGTTACCCGTGTGGTATTTCTGGATCGCGGATCTCGTCATGAAGGGGTACTCGTCGGTCCGCCTGGACAAGAAGGAGGTTGGGAGTCAGAAGCAGCGTTCGTATGCAAGCCTGGCAGTCACTTTTATGATTTGCTACGCGGCTGTTCAGGGTGTCCTTTTTGCTTCTTTCTTACCGCCGGCCTGACTGCTCATGAGGGGAACAATAAAGCTGAACTACCTCCCCGTCACCTGTTTATAATATACTATATTATTTCTATAGTATATGCAAGGGGAGAAGTCACTCCAAAACATTGGAATTACAATAAGGACAAAAACCGGTTTTCCAATTGCTCTCTCCATACTATTTTTTACCTAGGCACAATTGGCATTGGTCCAAGCGACACTACGCTACGCACCTCGGAGCAGGTACCGACATTGGCGATCCCCCAGTCTAGACATAATCACACTGTTCACACAGGTATATAACAGCTACACCACGCACTTACTCTCAATCCAATTTTCATGATGTCTCCAAAATGGTCGCCCAACTCTTCCCACCCCGCCATGTCTACTTCCCCTCCACCCCTCACACACCTCCACCGTCATCCTCCTGCACGACACAAACAGCACAGGCGCCGAGCTAGCCGCCGCGCTGGCCGCCTCAACAACAGCAACTGGCAATTCTATCTTTGAATACTTCCCCTCTTGCCGCTGGGTGTTTCCCTCCGCTCAGCCCCGACAGATAGATACCTGCCATGCAAGCCGGGGAATTGGATCGACGTCGACGCTGATGCGAACGAAGACGCAGACGCAGATTCTCCCCAACAACCCCAAGCACAGTTCAGCCCCTCCACAAAAGAGGACAAAGACCACGAAAACGAAATCAAAGACGAAAAAGAAGACCTAGAAACTTGCGCAGAGTACATCCTACAAATAGTAGAAGAGGAAGTCATCCGGCTGGATGGGGACAGTCGCCGCGTGGTGCTGGGTGGGTTCGGGCAGGGGATGGCCGTTGCGATTGCTGCATTACTCGCTGCGCGGAGACGACTGGGTGGGTTTGTGGGTGTGAGCGGGTGGGTTCCTTTCGCGGAGAGGGTCGAGGGATTAGATGGTCGGGGCCAGGGGCGGCTTGCTAAAGAGGAAGTGAGGATGGGAGGGTCAGAAGCGTTTCCAGCGGATTCGGTGGATGGGGAGGCGTCGCTGGAGACTCCGGTTCTTCTGAGCGACCTTGAGGATGATCCATGCGTGGATATTCAAACAGGGCTGACGGCCTACAAGGCATTAAACCGCTTGGGGTTTGTCAAGGTGGTGTGGGATGCTCATCCTGGTTCGCAGCAAAGCGAAGATTGGCTCTTAGATGCGACCCAGTTGGATACAATTGTGGGTTTCCTGACAGAGGTGTTTGGTCATGAGGGCAGCATCTCTGCTCATGATGTTATGTTATGATACTCTACTTGAAGTATCAGGCAGGCAATGATCTCCTAAATAGTATTTCCAGTCGCTCATGTCGTTACTTACAGGCTGAAATGAACTCGCTAAACCAATGTTTTTGCCTTCTCTGCAAACACTTTTGAAGACCACATGAATCGGAGAGGAGACAGGGGTTGCATGCGATGGCACACGGCACAGGGAGCAGAACGGAAATGAATCCTGAAATTACACAAGAGAATATAAGTCACGAGGGGAAATGCCGAGTCACCTCCAGAAGAAGGCTGTATCACATGATATATAAAGACAGAACAAGAAAAGGAAATTGGGAGTCCGCCATGGCAAAAATCCACTGGCATCTCATGTAGGTGGTGCGGGAAGGGAGGAGAGGGCTCCGGAAAGAGCTTCGGTTGGCAATGCTTGGGAAATCGCAGAAAATGAGGATGCAAACTTCGGAGAAGCTCTTGCAGATCTAGAATGTCAAAAAGCACCCGCTGATGCAATGGAATGTGCATGCGATGGGCATAGATCGAGTCTATATCGTTCGTGTTTCTCTTCATGCCGTGTCCTCAATCGTAGCCTTCTGGAGCTCCTCGGAGACATCGGCGGTGGCATCGTTCTCCTGCTTCAGCTCAGCTTCGGCGGAGACTTTGCCATTGGCACTGTTGTTCTCAATAGCGACCTTCTTGGCATGGTCGGTGGCACGCTGGCTGTCAGAGTTCGCCTCTTCCTCCTCCAGACGCTTGATCTCCTCCTGAGCCTTCTTGATGTTCTACACAAATCAGTCAGCACATCGAAATCGCCTGCAAATATCTCTGATAACTATTGTCAACTCACCTCCTCAGTCTTAGCGGCCTGGTTCTTCTTCCACTCGGTGACCTTGTCGGCAAGCTTCTCGACAACAGCAGGAACATCGGACTGGTTCATAGGAGGGTCGATCTTAACCTTGGCAAAGTCCTCAATGACACCGACGTTGAGGTTGAACTTGGTGGGCTCGGCAGGAGTTCCGGGGGCAGGGCTGCCATTGGCGGTACCCTTCTTACCCTTCTTGCCCTTCTTGCCGCCGGTGCCGACGAAGTAGTCTTCCTCGCGGTCCTCCTTCTTCAGGACCTTCATGCCCTTGATGTTGGAGTCGTCAACGGTACGACCGACCTGAGCACGGAAAGCGGAAGACTGATCCTTCTTGTCATCGAGACCAAGGGTGGAGAAGTCGTAGGACGGGTTGAAGTGGCGGATAAGACCTTGCGCGATGAGAATCTCGTCGGTGTAAGCGGGACGGGACGCCTCCTCGAGCTTCTTGTCGGCGATCTTCTTCCTCTTTTCGCGCTCAAAGGCCTCACGCTGGGCCTTTTGCTTCTCCCGGCGGATCCTCCAGGCCTCGTCCTCATACTCCTTGTACGCCTTGCGGGCCTTGTAGTAGTTGTCCTTGATCTCACGGATGGCAGTCCACTTCTTCTGCTGCTCAGCGTGCAGCTTAGTGCGCTCGTCTCTCAGAGCGTTCAGATTCTTGAAGGCACCGTCCTGTTCGGCCTTGATGGCATCGAGCTCCTTCTGGATCTCAGTGTACTTGTCGCTCAGAGCCTTGGCTTCGGGGTTGTCGAGAGTCTTCTTGAGTGCAGCAATCTGCGCCTTCAGGTCGTTGATGACCTTCTGCTGCTCATCCAAGCCGGCAAAGTTCTTGCGCTGCTTACGAAGAGTCGAGATGTCGGAGAGAGCCTTGCGCTCATCCACCAAGCGGAGAGTACCAGAATCGACTTGCTTCTCAAGACGGGCGATTTCACGATCAATGTCCTCGACATTCTTGAATGGCATGCGAGTGCGGGAGTTGTTCTGTTCGGTAATACGGGCCTTGAGGGTCGACTCCAGAGCATTGATCTTCTCCTGCGTGCTCGTTCTTGAGGCCTTGAATCCCTGCTGCTTTTGACGAATGGAGGAGAGCTCAGCACGAAGTTCCTGTTGTCTCTTGGCTGCGGGCGAGTCCTGGTTGTTAGGCTTGGCGCTCTCGATCTTGGCCTTGATTTGGTTCTGCGCATAGTCAGTATCTTTATATATGTCATGCTATCTGCAACTGATTGTATACACATATCATTAAAGCAGAAGAAGAAATGGTAGAATGTGTGAGGGTCGTTTTCCACAGAAGGAGGGGTAGAGGTATGGGAAGAAATAAAAAAAAGAGGCGCATTGTGCGGAGCATGAAACAAACAATAAAGCAACAAAACAATGGACGTTATCAATTGACGGAGACCTCACATACCAATTTCTCCTGGACAGCAGCATGCTCCTTTTCAGCCTGGGCGAGATCAGCCTTGAAAGCCTCCTCGTTGGGCTTGTTCGGCCTGGCTTTCTGCTCCGTGGCAGGAGCGGCATTGGCGGCGGCAGCCATGACTTTTGAGAATCAAAGAGGGGGGAACAAAGAAGGAAGAGTTGAGTGAGGAGAAACTCAAAAGTGAGCCGAGATTGATCGTGTGGATCAATCGCAGAAAGATGCAGCTCAGGGGAGTGGGAAGAAAGGAGGGTAGTAACACGAGAGTAGTACACAAAAATAATTGATAATTGCCAGGTAGGCGGAAAGTTGGGGAAGGGGACCGAGGACTTGTGCCTCTCTTCTTTCCCTGGGTCACACTCTCTTTTTTTGCCTAGCTCTTCTATGGTAAGTCTGGCCTTTACTGGCGTTGGCCGCGCTTACCATTGGCGCTCTTAGCGCAGGTCCGCCCGATTTTTCGAGAACTTCGATCACTGATGGTCTCCAAATTCCTACTTATCCACCAGTTTCTTCCATACAACCTCCGTCTGCGCCTGACATATTGCTCGGCGCTCTCACCGAGATAGCATTTCTTTTGCTTGTCACATTATTTTTCTTGAGGCAGCGGACAGGCGCGGTTACTTCAATTTTCAGCCATGGATGAAGAATACACCAGCTCCGCGGAGGCCGACCGCGAGATGACCAGACTTTGGCGAACCTGGAGGACTGTATTCGAGATGCTGGCGGATCGGGTGGGTTTCTCTGGAACATTTATTTGTTTGCGCTATGTTGTCGTGCGGTTATGCTTACATGATTGTTCTGCCATAGGGGTACGAAGTCACAGAAGAAGAGATTCAAATTCCCCTAGATGAATTTAGACAGAAATATGCGGATCCTGTGGGATTCCCTGAGTATGCGACTACCCTGGACCTCTTTGGAACAGTTGTTCAATTCGTCTAACGCACTTTCTTCAACCATATAGCCGCACCAAGATGAAAATCAGCGCTCGTCCCACAGCAGCCATGCAAGCCAAATACACACCTTTGCCCACCCCCGCCAACCCGGACCCTCAACCTGACTGTGGTACTATCTATGTTGAGTTCTGTGCCGATTCCACCGGTGTCGGTACCAAGCAAGTTCGAGCCTTCAATCACTTTGTCGACGAGAACAACTTTCACACCGGAGTCTTCATCACTCAGACGCCAATCTCCCCATCTGCTGTGCGCCTCCTGAGTGGTATCCCCGGTCGTATCTGTGAGCATTTCCAGGAGCAGGATCTACTGGTCAACATCACCCGTCACGAATTGGTTCCCAGACACGTCCTGCTGAGCCCAGAGGAGAAGAAGAATCTGCTCCAGCGGTATCGATTGAAGGAGTCGCAACTGCCTCGTATCCAGGTCTCTGATCCTGTTGCGAGGTACTTGGGTTTGCGGCGGGGACAGGTCGTTAAGATCATCCGAAGGAGTGAAACCGCCGGCCGCTATGCCAGTTATCGCTGGGTAATCTAATCGCTCCGGACTACATCAGTACACATGTCTTTTTTGAGCGACACAATCGTTCGCAGAAGACCCTTTGTGCGCCTTTCACATCTTCATGAGTCAGTTGCGTAAGAGTCGGACTGAGGTCCTCTGGGGTTATGTCTCTGTCTCTCTGCTCTGCTAGAGGACCAGGGTCTACGTTTTTTTCAGTGCAATTCATTGCGCTCAATGAGATGCGCCCGGAAGTGATCTTGAATTGAGACTACTATTATACCCTCGGATAACGAAACCAAAGTTGGAGAGTCTTGCTACGTGGTAACGACGGCAACAAGTGGTTGCAGGAAGGGGATCAAGAAAGCACAGAATAAAACATCGAAAAGTTCGTCCACTTGTACGTATTATGGGCAGCATGGCGCATGGGCGAAAAAGAGACTTCAATTCTGGTCGGGAACTGTTTCGTCACCAAGCTTTCTTCATTTCTTTGTGATCTTATGTATGTATGCAAGTCCGATGTTACCTATTAGATAACCACTTTAAGGTATAGAATCGGTCGGAATTCATACAAGGGCTTGGATAAATGGCTTATATTCAAATCCATGACTTTGTCCCTACCCTCGGTTTCGAGAGGCTTGATGCTCAATTGGTCCTTTTAATGCCTCAGGCCGCAAGAGCCCCACGGATAGCATAGCCGCCAGCGCTGGACAGGCCGAGAACGCTGCCGAGAGTACGTCAGATCGAAGAGTGTGCCGCCCCCGTGATTTAGGTTGAGTCTGCTTGTTACTTACTTGATGTTTCTCAAATAAAATTGCTTGTGATCCTCGGCCATATGTACTGTCGTTTTGTTATTGCGCAAATTCTTCAATAGACTCTCAATTCTAATCTGATCTTTATTCTCGAAGATGTTGGTTTGAGATTTTGATTTCAATTGCTGTTTGTTTTTTGACACCGTCGTTGCCACTGCTATACACGTTCCCCTTCATTCTCCTTCATCGGAATCGTGATGATGCAAGAAGTGACCGTAAGACCTTCCCACCTTTATCACTTAATCTGGTCTCAGCTTAGCAAGATGCTAACCCAGTTTCCCATCAGGCTCTTTTTGAAAAGACTCAGCCGGGTTCTTACATGCGTTTATGCTCTCTTTATCCGTCAATCCCGCGATGCTCCCGAACGCGGACTTCTCTACGCTCTTTTTCCAACGACTCTCGTTCGAGTTCATCAATCGATACCTTCTTGCCCTCGGGTAACCATGATTCCTTAAGAAGAAGCTCCAACCCTTCCAGCCATGGTCTCTGGACGCCGTCGCAATCTACAGCTTCGTTCTCTACCTCCTCTTCGCTCTCGGAGCCAGCGGATTGGGACGAGAATCCAAATCTTTCAATCTCTGCCTTTTCAGAATTACCGTCCAAAGACTTTGGCGTCAATCAGCATATGATCATTAACCAAGAATTCAAAGAGGCCCTGCGTCAGATTCTGTGGCAGTTCCGCGCTCCGATCCGATATGCTTTCGCCTATGGTTCCGGCGTCTTCCCTCAGTCCGGCAGTGCAGCCGGGTCCAGTCAATGTCACCCATCGGCCCCGGCAGCAATTCAGAATATGCAGCAGGGCAAGGGAAAGATGATTGATTTTATATTTGGAGTATCATATAGTCAGCATTGGCACGCACTAAACCTGAGTCAACACCGTGACCATTACTCCGCATTGGGGTCTACGGGGTCTTACATGGTTTCCCAGGTACAAGACAGATTCGGGGCAGGCGTATACTTCAATCCTTACGTGACGGTTAATGGCACGCTGATCAAATACGGAGTCGTGAACCTCGATACCCTGTGTAGGGATCTCAGTCAATGGGACACATTGTATCTCGCCGGACGGTTACAGAAACCAGTGAAGATCCTGCGCGACCACCCCAGGGTGCGCTTAGCCAACCAGATTAACCTCCTGTCTGCGGTCCGGGTAGCACTGCTGCTATTGCCCGCAGAGTTCAGCGAATTCGAGCTGTACACCACCATCGCGGGAATCAGCTATATGGGAGACCTCCGTATGTCACTACCAGCGGAGGACCCCCGGAAAGTGCGGAATATCGTCTCCGGCCAAATGGCGCACTTCCGGCGGCTATATGCACCTCTCATTGAGAATCTTCCCAACGTCACGTTCAACGACAGACGCTGCACGGAAGAAGATTGGATCGACGACCCCAATGCGAACGTGCGTCTTACACAGGATATGGACCCGGTGAAGCGGGGCAATATGGTACGGCGGTTACCCGAATCATTCAAGCAGAAGTTGTACTTTCAGTATCAGTCTCGATTCGAAATTCCCCGAGTCGAGTTCAACAAAATGATGAAGGAGAGCAGCGACAGCGACTCGGAAATAGTGCGACGGAGGCAGGGCGGTCCATTCGAGCAACGAATCGCGGCTGACGAGAACCTCAAAAAGGAAGTACAGGCGTCAATAATGGAGACGATTCGTTGGCCAAGTACCGTTCAGACCATCAAGGGTTTGTTTACTTCAGGGATCAGCAGAACCTGGCGCTACTTGAGCGAAAAGCAAAGCAAGTACAGAACCTCTGGCCGGAAAGCTAAAGCTTCATCCGAGGAGTCTCCCTCTTCGAAGCAAGAATAGATCCTTCTGGGCAATTCATCTTGGGTGTCATCAATACACGGGTGGTACGGATTGGCGATTCTTGGAATCCTAAGGCATATCGAGGCGTTCTTCGATTTTTCTTCATGAAGTACATATGTAACTACTATACTCGGTCACCAGCTACATTCACATCATTCGACATACAATAAACAAAAATGTTATAGAATAATCTACAGCAGTGGGCCGGATTGAGTCATCATTCAGTGCAAGTAGTTGAGTCAGATTGCCGAAACCGGATTCCGGAGTTATCATCTTCTGTCTCCCCGCTATCCCCCACCACTTTTTGAACTCCAAGAAATTCCTTGTTAGGTCATCATCCAAACCAACACAATGGCTCCAAAATCGTCGCCATTCGATCTTGCAAAGTGCGTGCGGCCTAACATCTTAAGGCTGCAACCTTACCGATGCGCAAGAGAGTGTGTTTCCCCAGTCATCCCTTGCAAAAGTCCGTCGCAAGAGCTAATGAGTCAGTGACTACAAAGATGACGGGACGAACATCTTGCTCGATGCGAACGAGAACGCCTACGGCCCAGGACTAGCGCTCAATTCTGAAGGTACACCTGAGAAATCCACAGTTAATGGAGGCTCGTCGGTGTCTTCGAAGCCGGAGATTGATTTCCTGGGCTTGAACAGATACCCAGACCCGTAAGCTGAGCGATTTCCGCGATCGCATGCAAACGCAACCCCATTCGTACTGACATGATGTATGATCGCAGACACCAGATCGAACTGAAGAAGTTGTTTTGCAAGTTTCGCAACACCCACGTTCACACACAGAAGGACCTGGGGCCGGAGAACATGTTCGTGGGTGTTGGGTCCGACGAGGCCATTGACGCCCTTTTGAGATGTTTCTGTGTTCCTGGAAAGGACAAGATTCTTACCTGCCCTCCTACGTATGGCATGTATGCCGTCAGCGCGGAAGTCAACGATGTCGAGATTGTGAAGGTGCCCCTGGACGTCAACAATGGCTTCCAACTGCAGGCGGACAAGATCAACGAGACGTTGTCTGCGGACCCGACGATCAAAATGGCGTACATCTGCTCGCCTGGTAACCCTACCGCGAACCTGATCAAGAAGGAAGACATTCAAAAGGTGCTGGAGCACCCCACGTGGAACGGGGTGGTCATCGTGGACGAGGCATACATTGACTTTGCGCCCGAAGGCTCTAGTCTTGCCGAGTGGGTGACCGAATGGCCCAACCTGGTCGTGATGCAAACTTTGAGCAAGGCCTTTGGATTAGCAGGCATCCGACTTGGCGTTGCATTCACAAGCCCGGAAATTGCCCGGCTCCTAAACAGCCTCAAAGCCCCCTACAACATCTCCAGCCCGACAAGTGCGATCGCGACCGCTGCCCTGTCACCTGAGAACATGGCCGTTATGCGCAAGTACCGCGAACAAATCATCGCTCAGCGCGAACGAATGTTACAAGAGCTCCCCAAGATCCCAGGTGTGGGCCGTTTCCTCGGTGGTCAGGAATCCAACTTCCTTCTCGTAGAAATGCTCGACAAGCCTGCCAGTGAAGGCGGAAAGCCCAGTAACGCTGTGGCCTTGGCGGCATACGAGGCTATGGCTGAGAAGCGGGGTGTCGTTGTCCGGTTCCGGGGCAAGGAACTCGGATGTGAGGGCTGTTTGCGGATTACTATAGGAACAGAGCAAGAAGTCACTCGGTTCCTACGGGAGTTGAGGGCCGTGCTAGATGGTCTCCTGAAAGGGGTGGAAATCAAATCGGTCAGGGACGAGGTGAATAAGGAGAACCAGGCCAATCAGGTTGTGGCCTGATTGTTCTGGATAAAGCAATTTTAATGGGATTTTTCGGGTTACTAGACATAGATTATGAGATTCATATGAAAACTACCTAGGATGAATCCGCACTGGACTCCCCCGAATCAGAGGAAAAGGTTGTATAATATAGTCGGGTACCACATTGCATCTTTTATCTCCAAGACATGGACAGTCTGACCAGAGAGATAAACTAAGTTGTAAGGAGGTAAAGCACGGCGCAATCCTGCCTGCCTACCTGTCTGTGCATTTGGCGTAGCACAAGCATGGATCAGGAACATTAATCTGGGGTGTGAAACGGTCGATTCTCTCCCCTGTCCCATCCTGGTCAAAGTTTCTCGTGCGTCTACCGTATCTCCCTCCCTCTTGTCCGACTCGTGTACGGTTTAGACTTCAGAGTAACATCCGCCCTGTCAGCTGCGTTCCACGTGGGGAGGGGCAGGACGGTGGCACAAAGTTAGGGACTGCAAAGGAAAGCTTTGAAGCGATATCAGTCGAGTTTATAATGGATGGGTATAGTTACATTCAATGATGGAAGCGGTGAATCTCCATTTCCAGGCGACATTGCACCTTAAAACGCTTGTTAAGAGAACTAAGGGAGTAGTCTAGTGGTATTGTAAGAGACCAGATCATAGTTGAGTGTGCTATGGCGTCGGGTAACATCTCCTCGAAAGCAGCTTAGTCTACTGGGTAATCAGTCTAGGCCAATCTGGCTTGATTAACATGCAATCAACTCGAGAAATAATAATAATAGTCTCGTTATCATCAACCTAGGCTTTTGCGGTGTTCATTATCATGTGTTTACTCGTAGTTCCCTCAGCCTCTTATCACGGCGACCCAGCCATCCCATTGCGGACGGTTAATGAATTAAGTGTGTTTTCAACACCATTAGAAGAGAAGAAACAGGACTATCTACAGGAAGCATCCCCAGAGAGCCAGTCACATCATGATCCAATGTCCAGTTTCCATCTCATCCTCGGTCGATGGTTGGGTGGTTCGGTGTCAGCGCCATCACCTGCGTGCCATCGTCTATTCGTCTTGGCTGCGCCCATCTTGGCCCGTACTGTTAGCCTTGAACTTATCTCCGATTTTCTCTCTCCCCACAAGTCTATCTAAGCGAGTTCCCTGTCTTTTGCCTCCCGTATCTCCCTCCGTCCCTCTCGACGCCCAGCATGCAATCCCAGTCACCGTCTCTCAAATACCCGTTCTCATATCAGGAGGCTATCACACGAGCTTCTTAGCTAATGGTCAGTGACCACTCAGCAGGGGCCAAGTCTTCCCCTCCAATTCCCGGCGTTATCTTCGGGGCTTGGTTATCTCTGGCCCTTAGACGTAGATAGTATTTGCTAACTGGATTGAGTCTGGGTTCTCTCAGTTTTCGTTGAGTGGTTTCTGGTACCAAAGCGATGAGGCAATGACAGACTCACCGGCCACTGTAATCTCCACCTGTGCTCATCGCGCTACTTTTACCTTGAGATCCTTCCAGCTACCAAGGGCGAGGGAGTCGTGGCGTGGCTTATTTATTTAATATTCACTCTCGACTCATCGTTGGATTGGTAGCTTGTCCAAGCTCTCTTCCTTGCTACCTAGGTAGGTACCTGTTATATATCAACCGGATCGACGCTTTGAAAACGGCGGTGAATCCGAAGCTCCCTCTTGAGCTCTCTCGTCATCGTTGTTCCCTTTTTGATCTACTTGTATCAACAATACCTGGGGATCTTTGTACTCTACAACTACTTTTATCATCATTTATTGCTCTAAGGACCCTTGATTCTGGGGTATTTTTCCGCCGTCGTTCCATCTCCGTCTATTAATACCCACCCTTACTCGACCTTTAAGTATCATCGCGTGAAATTCTCCGTCTTCTCCATCTCTTAGTTTGCCTCCCCCACACTGTTTCCCCGGAGTTAGAGCACGTGCGCTTTATTGACTGTGGTCCCTCGATGGTCTCCAAGCTGAACGATGTAAATCAATCTGAAGCTATCCGATTCACACTGCAATTCGCCAGGACCTCCTATCATCGATTGACCCTCATAAGAAACGCCTTTGCCGTCTGTTGATCCCTGGCCCCTCTTCGGAGGTGGCTCAGTGGCCATGGATTTATACCAATCGATGCTGAACACACGAGGGATCTATTCACAGACGCCCCCGGATATTCGGACACGGTTTGATGATCATCCCACACTCCTGGTGAGCTGGTGGGCGACCGGATTTTCCCTGGCGTTCATTATAACCCGTGTCTGTGGTCGCTATATCCGGACTGAGCGGTTCTTCCCAGAGGACAAGATGATGATGGTTAGCGTGATTCCGTTGTTGATACGGATGGCGCTGGTGCATGTGGTACTGCTCTATGGCACGAACAATACCAAGACGGCTGGCCTGACCGAGGAGGAAATACGACAGAGAGAAATTGGCAGCAGGCTGGTCCTTGCCGCCCGAATTTTCTATGCGATTTTGTAATACACCTTGCCCCCGGATTTCCGTTCTTGTCCTTGCTAGTATACTGATGATTTACTTCTGCGAACAGCATTTGGATCGCCAAATTCACCGTGTGCGAGTTTCTGAAACGAGTCGCAGGGATGATCTGGCAGCGGTCACTCCGAATATTCATCCAGATCATTTACTACTTCCTGGCATCAACGTTAATCGCAGTGCTGATTGCGACTCTCGTTGAATGTCAGCCTTTCGACCACTACTGGCAGGTTGTTCCGGATCCAGGGCCGCAGTGTCGCTTGGGTTATGCCAACCTGATCACGATGGGGGCATGCGACATTATCACCGACCTGCTTCTGGTTGCCTATCCCATTCCGATCGTCTTAATGACGCATATGCCCATGAAGCGCAAGGTGATCCTCGCAGTGCTCTTCGCATTGTCCCTGATACTGGTTGGGATCACCTGCTATCGCGTTCCGTCGGTAATTTGGCATCACGGGTCACAGCAATACCGGTCGCTTCTCGCGTCGCTAGAGATTCTAGCTGCGACCGCTGTCTCCAACGCGGTCGTCATCGGCTCTTTCGTCAGAGATAAGGGCGTTAAGAAGGCGAAGTTCAAGAAGGATGTCGGTTCGGCCTCGGTGAGCGAAAGTATGGATCACAGCTCGACGCGACGTGCCACCATTACCTACCATCAATGGGGCAGCGACTCGGATCTCGCGGGAGACCTGGGGATCCGACTGGCTCCTGACCTTCAAGCCTCGGACAACAAGATTCCCCGTCCAGCTCCAATCGCCGTGCCCTACCATCCCCTCACAGCCCAAACGGGGAGGCTGACCCCGAATTGGTCCTTTGACAACAAGCGTCACTCGATGGGAACAGATGACGACATAACGTCGACAACCGGCAGCTTGGAGCTGAAAATCAGCCCTCATGAGTACCTCGAGACCAACAAATCCCCTCACAAAAGGTCCAACGATGCCGCCCTCTCCTCCCCTAGCAAAGTCTCCATCTTCGATGTAGGTGGGCTACTGGACGACACCCCAACGCCAGCGTCTCACAGCTCTTCTGCGGAATCGATACGTCATCGCGAGCTGAGCTTTGGCTCGCAACAATATCGCAATGGTAGCAGAGCTTTTTTGCAGGATGTCGGGGCCTACTCCCCCATCGAACACAAGAAATGGCCGCCGACGGGGCTCGAGTGTCCACTTTACCGACTCGGCAGATCACCCCGTGCCTCCGTATCACCCCCAGCGGGATGCGCACGCGCCCATTCTGGAGAGGTCCGATGATGTGGAGCTCCAGGATGTCGGCGGTCTTCTCTCGAAAGATACATGAGTCTTTGACACCTGAATATGACGCAATCTATTGTATGATAGTATCATGATTCATGACCTACTTTCTTTTTTTGTTTAAGTCTCTTGGGCTTTCAGCTGGGTCTGTGGTTATGGATTTTGTAATTTTGCCTTATTTGTGCGCTTAAGCGATGGCGTTGGTGTGCTGCAGCGCTCCGGCACTGGTTACATATCCCATTTGCATTGGTTGGGACTTGGATGGGTTTTGGATCTCTGGGTTATCCCTAGTCAGGGGAGTATTTATTGAACATACTAACAATGCTGCAATCTGTCGCCACCAGGATATTCGGGATATCCAACAATCTCCCGGAGACTGGGTCAGCCATATCAGATTTATATATATTGTCACCAATTAGAGAGGTAGTCCACCGAGAAATAGGAGCTAAACATGACACTTATCACGTAACCTCTGTTATCCGTAATAACATTCGAGAATCTGTAATCCATGAGACTTGGCAGGGTTTCGAGAGCAGAGAAGTCGGGAATTACTTCTGCATTTCTTCCATATCAATACAGATTGGGTTATCAATCAAACAAGAGCATAAGCGAGCAACCTAACAACCCCCGATGGTCTAGTTGGATATGGCGGTCGGCTGTAATGGAATAATTGTAACCGACAGGTCGCCGGCTCGATTCCGGCTCGGGGGAGTAAAAGGTTATCTTTTTTACTTTTTATTTTTTATTCCCTTTCCCCTCTCATCACTTCCATTTCTCTCTTTTGCCTTTTCTGTCTCTCATCTCTTTACACAAGCGGTGTTTGTTCCATCCAGCTGGCCATGAATTAAGACCATCCATGATAAGGGCAGGCCCAGCAACAGCATGCCCTGAACAAGAGGACTGCAGAATTTTAGATTTGTGCGAAATGCCACCCTGGAATCGAAAACTGTCCTGACGGTGCAGGGCTCAGGTCTGCAGAAATTGGCAATTACCTGAGGAACTGCTTGCTCACCAGACTGTTACCGTTCTGCCCCTCCTCCCCCGTCCTTACATTTGAAGAGCTCAACCAAGCAACTCCGAGGTGACTCTCCTGCTACCTCAACGGCGCAGCCCTGAACTCGGCTACAGGGTCCATAGAACAGATCCAACTCACGTCAGACTGAGAATGCTATCTACTAATGGAGATACTCATGTATCATCCTTCAACCCCCGATGGTCTAGTTGGATATGGCGGTCGGCTGTAATGGAAAATTGTAACCGACAGGTCGCCGGCTCGATTCCGGCTCGGGGGATCAGGATATCTTTTTGTCCGTTTACTTTTTAGATCATTCTGCTTTTTTGTAAGTGGCCGAGCTACGGGGCTAACGGCTAACTAAGGTAGTTGCTCGTTAAGCACGTAGTGTAGCCAATGTGGTTGGGTTGCGGCTGAGCTGACTACGGTACTTTCTGGTTCAGAGAGACGAGGCTCTTTGGCTGGTGGAAGGTAGAACATGGGCATAGTTGCTATCTCTCCTCAGCGCATTTAAGCTACTGCCACCGATATGATGCCAGGGCCCGGTTGCTCTAACTCTACACTCTACTCCGCATATTGGAAGCTGGAGCTTTCGTTTAGCGATATGTTGGTGGTCGAAAGAGAGCTGGAGGGTGGTCAAGCCTAGCCTGGCTCATAGAGTCAAAAGAAGTCAATATTAGTATCTCGGAAACCCCCGATGGTCTAGTTGGATATGGCGGTCGGCTGTAATGGAATAATTGTAACCGACAGGTCGCCGGCTCGATTCCGGCTCGGGGATATGAGATATTCTTTTTGCTTTTTGCAAATATCGCACCCAGTTCGACATCGAGGAAAGTATCATCCACGCAAATAGATGCTCCCTCTATCCATCCAGCGGTCGTGCTTGCTTTACATCTGGGGCCAGGTGTATGGCCGACAGCAGTAATTTTTGCGGTCCATGGACGTGACCATAATGATCGTTCTCAGTACAGCATCCTAGCCTTGCGCTCACCAGCGTGAAATCCATGAAGCCTGGATCAAGCCATTTACAAGGATAAAGTAGCTATAGATGGTGCCAGTTCTGCTGGACAAGTCTGATGCCTCCGACACGTGGGAACGACGCAAGGGGCCATTACGATCCGCCCTGCACATCATTCACATTTCAGCGGAACGAAGTTCTTTTCAGAGTACAAAAATATACTCGTTTGGAGAATGGATTCAAGCAGTCAAAAACAACCAAAGTCCAAAATAAAAAATCAATAAAAAAGAATGTCTCTGACTCCCCCGAGCCGGAATCGAGCCGGCGACCTGTCGGTTACAATTATCCCATTACAGCCGACCGCCATATCCAACTAGACCATCGGGGGTTTAGGAGACATCCGCCTCGGAAAATATTCGATCCACAAGCTAGTAGTTGAGCAAAAACAACACTCAGTTCAGCAACATGTGCCTGTGGGGGATTGAGCTCTTGTAGATAGCTTTGTTCGAATCATGCGAGATATCATTGCATCTAATAGCCGGCTCAGATAGCCAATTATTATTCTCTATGGTCGCGCATCTTCAAAGTGAGCAGCATTAGAGCAATAGGATCCACCTCAAGGATGTGCCGTTGGCGGTCTGGGACTGATCCGGGGTAACTCGTCTCGACATCTTTGCCCGTCACATAGCGATGAGCACCTGCAATAACAAATGCACTCCTTATATCCAATAGAGTATGAAAAAAAGCAGACAATAATCGATAATGGGATATAGCTTGCTCAAGCAAGGGAAAGGGACAAAAGACAAAAAGATAACGTCCCCCGAGCCGGAATCGAGCCGGCGACCTGTCGGTTACAATTTTCCATTACAGCCGACCGCCATATCCAACTAGACCATCGGGGGTTTCGTTGGTTATTTCAGAAAATATATGCTATATGATGTGAGCCCGCTAGGCAAGCAACTTCCCCTTGCCCTCCCTTGCTCCCCACTGTCCTTCAACATCAATGATCCACCTATGCAGTGTACCTTTTTCTGCAAAAAATTCATTGTCGTGCAGGATATGCTCATCTTCACTTATGCAATAATATAAGAAGCAGGACACATTATTGTGCAGAGTGACAGTCTGATCACGTGGGCTCGTGTCATTACGGGGTAGCGCGTCCTTTAACCCAAACAAGCCTGTAAACAGAGCCCACTCCCTTGACAACCACCACTTGCGACCGGCAATAACAAATTGACCCGATTTGAATAACTCATGTGCCGTACATTTTGAAATTGACGGGGCCTTCTTTATTTTTTAGTGCGATCTCCTTTTTCGTATAATGATCAAGGAAATGGAGACTTTCGCGGCCCGTCTCGCCAGCTTTGATCTGGTTCTCCATCCCGAACGACGACGGACATCGAGCGCAAAGTCCGTCAAGCCGATATCTTGGCCTCATAGCAGACCGTCGCCTGCAGAGGTATATCACCCTTTAAATTTTGTATCTTTGTTGATGCAATGGCTGACTCCTAGCTAAAGCTAGCGCATGCAGGGTTCTACTACAATCCCTACGAGACCAACCCCGATAACACAACATGCTACTTATGCCAGCGCGCGCTCGACGGGTGGGAATCGGAGGATAACCCGATTACTGAGCACCTTAAACACTCAAAAGACTGCGGATGGGCGATTATGATGGACATCGAGCAGCACAGCTCAAATCCCGCTGAAATTGAAGATCCAACAAGCGACAGGATAACGCAGGCGAGACAAGCCACTTTTGGCGACCAATGGCCACACGATGGCAAGCGGGGCTGGGTTTGCCAATCTGAAAAGGTAGTGTTTGACATGCTCTCGATTCCAAAGCGCAGTTTATCAGCCTCTTGAACTTGCAACCTAATATTTTGTCCATGGCAGATGGTAGAAGGTGGATGGTACTTTTGCCCGACTGAAGAGAGCAATGATCTAGCCAGTTGTGCTTACTGTAAATTGTCTCTCGACGGATGGGAACCCAAAGATGACCCTTTGTCAGTGCCTCATGGCTCCTTCCCTCTTGATATTCACTGACTTGCCTAGTGAGGAGCACTACCGACGGTCAGCCGACTGTTCGTTCTTTGTCTTTGCACAGCCTCCTGGCAAGAAGTCAAAATCTTCTCGATCGAAAAAGTCGCGCGTCTCAAAAACATCATCTCGTCTCTCCACCCAATCTACAGTATCGGAAGCGCCCATCACCGAGCTTGACAGCCAAATGGATGAGGATGATGCTCCCCAGCCGCCAACCAAAACGAAAGCCTCAAAGAAATCATCGAAATCCAAATCGAAGACCTCGAAATCTAAGAAGGATAATACCTTGGAGCCTGATAACCAGATGGATTTAGACACCACGGAATATGCCCAACCTGAACCTGCCAAGCCCAAGCGGACCAGAGGCAAGAAGAGGTCTAGCGAGGAAATGGACCTAGACGAGCCTAACATGGCTACTGTCGAGGGCATTCATCAATCCGAACCTCCGACCAAGAAGAGAGCGACAAAGTCGCGCAACAGTGCTACTCAGCAAGAAGACAGCACTCGCGGTGACGTTGCTATCGCAGATGTGCATGAGCCGGACGAAGAGGCCTTGCTCGAAGCCGAATCTAAGAAGGGGCGTGCGGCCACCAAGAAGAAGACATTATCCAAAGGTCGGAAGGTTTCAGAGGATTCATTGGTCGCAAAGGCAGCTCCGGAAGCTCGCTTACCGCGAGATTCCGAGATTGATGCAGCAATTGAGGCCGAACTTGAAGTCGGCGAGCCTATGGTCGAGCCTCCGGCGGAAACACACAAGCCTTCGAAGAAATCGAAGTCCAAAAAGAAATCAAAGAAGGCGGCAGAGGAGCCACCCAATGTGCAGCATGATACTGTCGAGCGAAACGAACAGCAAGAGTTGCGTCGAGTAGACGACGATGAATTCATTTATAGGCGGACAAGTGACATTCAGTTGCCAGCCGAGCAGCCGAAACCAGCTAGATTCACTGCCAAGCAGAGAAGCTCCAAAGAAGCAAGGCTTTCAGAAAAGAAGACATCCGAGTCGCCCAAGAGTCGCCCAGCAACTAAAGCCGACTCGCCAGAAGTTGACGCCGAAGCTGATCGCAGGCACCAAGGGTCTTTTGTGTCAGTGGAGGTAACAGCAAGGAAACCAGAGCAAGACTTGGAACCCGAAAGGAGAGATAATGGCTCTCAAACGAAGAAGGCGACCAAAAAGTCCTCGACCAGCAAAACGAAGAAAACTAGTCACACAAGGGACATATCTCCGAAGCCTCTGGAGCCTTCAGAGGCTGAAACTCCTGCCTCCGAATGGTCTGAAACAAGGCATAACTTGGAGCCGGAGGCATCTTTGCAACCCGAACAAAAGACAATTTCTCGTCAGAGTCAAGACCAAGTACAAGAGCAAGAGCTGGAGCCAGAATCGGAGCCAGAGCTAGAGCAGGATGCCGAGGATGACATAGAGCAAGACAGGGAGGTAGATCCGGAGCCTGGGCCGCAGCTGGAAGTCAACGAAACGCCTGTCCGTCGCCGGTCATCCAAAGTTCCCCGAAGACGGCCGAGAGATTCAGCAACATCCCCCAAGAGAAGCAATTTGCCAAGTCGATTGCGGAAACTCGAACGCCGAATTCCCGTAAAGCGCCACAAGCTAGAATAAACTCTGACCGACAGGAAAGCGATGCGGTGTCGCCTCTCCCTTCCACTTCGAAGAGTTCGCCATCTTCATCACCCCAGTCTTCGGATGCTGAGAACCAACCTCCAACCATACAACCATCGGCTCTAAGGACGCAACTAGCATCACCGTCCAAGGAGAAAGCGGTTCGCATTCCCTTGGTAACCAGTACGCCCTCGCCTTCCAAACGAAATGTGAACTCTGGCGCACTCAGGAGTTTACACCCCTGGACACCTATTGACATAGACGAAATTCTCTACGCCTCAATGAGTGATAAGGAGAACGTGGATGTAGGGGCTGCTCTGAACATTATCAAAGGAGATCTTACAAGTCCCGAGAAGAAGATGACTGTAGAAGAGTGGATTTACTGGCATGCTCGGAACGGAGAAGAAAAGCTCAAGCGCGAATGTGAGAGGTTGGTCAGTCAGTTCGAGAAGGAAGGGGCAAGAGCAATGCGCGCACTGGAAGGGATCGAGTGCATTGATTGAAACACGGCGTTTGATTTGAACATGGTCGGCGTTATGGGATGGGAACAATGGTTCTCTATTTAAGCACTTATTCTGTTGAAGGTATTCCTGGACGCGATATCTCTGAAGCGAATCTGCAATATCACAGCGCGGTAAATGCAATTCCTGTCCATTTTGACAGTAAGAACCCAGCCCCAAAGAAAATCCTAAGTAAAACCAAACGCCTGGGTATCTGCAAAACTTTTGTCCCTTCCAATGAAATCAAGTCTCTCGTATGTGCAATCCCTCTCGACCCCTTGTACTATGCGATAATGCCGAGTCGACCTTCCCAGGAATCTTCCTCCTGCTTGATCCCATTCTCTCCATTTTTCCGACGCTTTTCGTTCCTCTTTCTTCTCTTTTCCTCTCTCTCTTTGGCCTCTTGTTCCTCCCTCTCCTTCAATCTTTCGCCAAGATCCAACTGCCAGGCCCGCCGTTCTTCCTCTTCCCTGACTCGCTTCTGATGAGCCAGAAATCGTAACCGCTGCCGCACGTCCTCCAAACTGGCGCGAACCACCTCGCCACTCTGACCCGTCGCAATCAAGTGTTGCTTGCTGTTCAAATGCTCCACCAGCTGCAGATTATCCTTGAAGGTAAGATCACAGTCGGAGCAGTAGAATCCAGCACCGCGACCCCTTTTACCCACTGCCGATCCCGCTGGAACGATCGTCGTCTTGCCCACCATCGAGGCGACATCGAGGCGCTGTTTGCGCGAGGTCGTGGCCTCGAGGGTGCTGTAGTCCACAGGCGCGTGCCATTTCTTGCCTAGCAGTTTTGCCTCATAGCGCGCCTTGCCCTCTTCTTTGCGCTTCGCTTCTTCATCTGCGGCCTTTTTGGCGTATTCTTCTCGGTCCCATGTTTTGCGGAAGGCGGTATCTGATGAGGGAGCTCCGTATGCGGTGTTGCCTTTGCCGGACATTGTTAGGAGGGTTTGGTGGGAAGTCGTCTGGTGGGTTTGCTCAGGCGGTATTCTGTATTTCCTCGGTACGGAGATGGGGTGATAATTCTCAAAGTAGGAGAATCGATAAGGATTGCTCTGATGATGGGAGATGAAAGCTTTCCGCAGTGATGATGGCAATAGATGCCCGGAAGTGGCGGGCGGTGAGGCAGTGGCTGATGGGGATCAACGAGGGGGAAACCCGTCGCGTCCATTCTTCCTTCCAGTCTGTTATTGATATTCTGCTCGAGCTGTGTATTTACTTTTCTTAGTTTTACTTTATAGTTTTCGTACAGAGGGTGTGGGATGAATGGCGCATTGAGACATTGGTCGACCACGATCACTCCTACCTATCATCTCGAATCCTCGACGCCGACAGGAAACCCAGTGAAACAGGTCAGCGGATTCCTTTTATAGGGTAATGTCGGTGCCTCAAGTTGCTTTAAATAGTCGGAACACTTCGTATTGTCTGTCCATTCCTTTCTGTTTTTGTCTGAACAGCCACCTTTCTTTTGTATTGAGTTTCAGGCAACACCTTTGCTCCAGTAACATATAAGTGTTTGTGTTGGACTTGTATCGTTGAAGTTGGCTCTGGCTTTCTCTCTAGTTTGACTCAAGAACCCATCCAAGCAATATGCAACCAGTTAAGCATTCAGTCATGGACGCTCCTTTGGAAGGAGAATATGTTTCCTTTGAACACTCTCTTATGGCTCTACCAACAGAGCTGCATTTACAAATCTCCTCGTATCTGTCCTATCCCGACGCTTTGGCGCTCAAACACACCTGTCGTCATTTCTACTATCTTGTATATACCGGCGTTCATCTCAAAGTCGACTGGCTGGTCGAGCGTTTTGAGCGCAAGCTCGAGTGTCCTATGGAGAAATGCTCCTTTCGGACAGACGAGTCGTTTTGCAATTCAAGAATCAGGGGAATCATGGAACGCCGACGACGACATTTGGAGTGTCCTCGAAGAAGAGGAGGATGTCTCGTCATCGAAGGGAGGACGTGTCAGAAGGACCTCGTTCCGATCTGGCTGAAGAGACAGGGCCGGGTGAAATTTTTGAAACATGCGGGCAAGGAAGGTCTGTTGGCAGTCCCGTGCCCTTTGTGAGGCCATGAGTTCGGTCAAGCTCCTGTGAGCGCTGACGTGTGAGCCCCTTCTAGTGCTGATCCATGGTTTGATCTTCCTCTGCGTCAGCTTGTTATGGAATCTTGTGAGGTAAACTCGCCGTCCGGGTGCTTCCACACGGAACTTCTGCTCACTGCCACAGGTGGTTTTGTCGTTGATCAAACGAGACGCGCAGCATCACTTTATAGTAAAGACTGTACACCTCATCGTCAAAGTTGTACGACTGGACAACCGGCAACGATATCCATTCAACTACCATACCGCTTCGTCAAACTTCAAATCCACGTGAACAGTGGGAACTGGCTATTATGGGGGAGCACTTCTTCATGAGCGGTCGATCACTCAACCCGGGTTGGCTGTCGAGGGATGAGCGGCAGTCGACAGTGTCCAGAAGAAGTCGTGAAGGCCTTTATCTTGCGAGCATTAACCGAAGAACTCCAGGCGCTCGCATGCTATAGTTCAACAGAAAAGGCCTCAAGCGATTGACGGGAGCACGAATCAAGGCCCGAGTTACATGCTACTGAAAACATGCGCAAATTGCCTCCTTTCCTGTATATCGGTGTCACGCCTGGGAACGGTGGAGGCGAGGCCAATCTTCCAGGGCGGCCTTGTCATCAGCATCGCAACGGAGCGTAAGCTCTCATCGAGCCCATATCATTTCCTTCTTCGACGCGAGCTCTCGAGATATGTAACATACTTGTGCATCCTAATAGCTCAGAATCGTCTCGGTATAACATTCTAGCCGTTGGGTTGTTAGCGGTGATGATCTATCGCTTGAAGCATTCTGCAATTCTCACATGACATTCACGCCTCTGGGTGTCGTCTAGCCATCTGAAGGAATGAGATGTATAAATAGTTCATTCAGGTAATATGTAATTTAATATACAAATATCATATAGTGAAAGTCAATTGTCCTGAGTCCAAGCATCTTGAATACTTGGCTTTGCTGCCATTTCCACTTCTTCACCCCGACCAACGAGAACAATGCCACTGAACAACCATTTGTTTTACTACATAGACAAAGAGAGATTACAAAAATTCCTCCAGGGGAATTGCCCGTGGAAATATCGATGAACTCAAGAATCTGGGTTGATGCTGCTTTGACGTCACTGCTACGCCAGATGTCGGTGATCGACCTGGCATACAACAACATCATCGTCACACCTACTGTACTCCAGACACAGGCACCTTGGGGCCTAAGATATGCTGTCCCTCATCAGACACTGTGTTTGATTGGCTGGACATGACGAGACGTCAGTCGATCTGGAATCGGAACAACCGATAATCGTACCTCTTGCTGGCATATATATATACTGCCCACCTTCGTTACCTCTCTCCCATATATCTCTCTAGAAGCAGCTCATATTGATTTCCTACACTGTCTATCTGTACTATACACAATGTCTTCCACGATCAACACAAGCACCGGCAACAAGCCCGTCGACCCCTACAAGGCCAAGAGCCTCGAGGACCCCCCTCTCCAGCAAAAAGTCGAGGACATGGTCAACTTCATCAGTGAGACCAAATTCGGCATGTTGACGACGAAGCTGTCCAACTCGGACCTCTTGACTTCGCGGTGCATGGCCCTAGCAGGAAAGGTACCGTATTGATTCTACCCACCAAAACGTCGAAGAAAGAAGGAAAGAGCTGACGCCATGGCGGATCCAGGAACACGGCGGTATCGACCTCATCTTCCACACGAACCTCTTCTCAAGCAAGACGATGGATCTCACCGTCCACCCGTCAGAAGTCAATATGTCCTTCCTGGATCCCGTGAGCGGCTCCTGGGCTTCGATCTCCGGCACTGCGGCACTGGTCGCCGACCAGGAAACCGTGAAGAAGTACTACTCGCCTGTATTGAAGGCCTGGCTGGGTGATCTGGGCGACGGTGTGCATGATGGTGGCCCGGGAGACCCGCGGATCGGTGTGATCAAGCTCGAGGCCAAGCTGGCGACGTATGCCATCACGCGCAAGGGGATGATTGGCAGAGCTGTGGAAACGGTCAAGAGCGTCTCCAAGGGTGATGTTCCTGCCATCAGCAGTCTCAGGGAACTGACTGAGGAGGAACTGGCTGAGTGTAAGTCCATCTGAGGGAGTCACCGGAATGACCCCCTCAAGCACTTTGCGACGTATGCTGACTCCTTCAAGGGCGCCGGACGCACCAATAATTGTACCCTCTGCTGGATCTGGTTTCATGTTCACGATTTTACGAACCTTGAGCTTTGGGATGCGAGCATTCTGGTAATGTTTCTCAGAATAATTGATTATGTAGTATGAAAACAACATTGTGAAATCTCAGTGACACATGCATAACTGCAAAAGATATGGCAGAAGATTTCACCAAAACAACTTCAATATCGTACAATCGTAGTTCATGGGTATCTATCGTAGTATAGCTCCGCGGAAGGAAAGAGTAAACGCCGGGAAATAAATCGTATGAGTCGTAGGACGGTGACAGGATGTGGAACTCGGTCAAATCTGGGAGTATATCAGCATGGAGGTCAAGATACAGCCAAGGATGGATCCCACCAATCTCAAAGGCATACGGGCCGGGATGCGCCCATTGTGCAGGAGCATAGCAATGTTCTTGTTCGGAGTGGCTTGAAGCTTACGGTAAGCCTCACGGATGTGTCTTGGTTCAACTGGCGTACGTCCCTCTTCGGGAGGATCGAAAAGACCAGTTTCTCGCTTACGCTTCTTCGTGTTTTCACCTGCTCCGCTTTCGGCCCCTCCACGACGGATCTTCTCACGGTCTTCGCGTTCCTTGACCTTGAGAGCTTCTTCGGTCAGGGTCTGAACTATCTCAAACGTCAAGAACCCAAGGATATCGACAATATCGTCATTGGGTTTCGACTCCGTCACGATGCCAAAGCCAGCCCACTCTCGAAAACGCTTGCTCTTGCGATACGTAAACGATGCTTGACGGCATTCTGACCAGAACACGTACTCTTCTCTGGTCATGTTCTTTGTGCGTTCATCAGCTGCTGCAAGACGTTGAAGAGTGGCATAGTTCTGCTCCTCTTCCTCCTCATCTTCTTCGTCCTCCCTCTCCGGTACCTGGACGGAGTAGAAGCTGTTCACATCCCACACAAGGCCAACACGCGCTCTCTTGTTTTTTGGTTTGGAAGCAACATCTTGGGGCCCAGCGACGACGCCTCCCGCAATCGGGTCGTCAGCCCCTGCGAAGTCTGCAGCGTCGGCGCCACCTTTGTCGTCGGAGTCTTTGACATTTTTACGGACATCTTTCCAGGAAAGGAAGGTCTTAAGACGTGAGACTTTGGCCTTGTCATGTCGAATTAAGAATATCAAATCATCTGTGGAAATAGACCGCACACCGCGACGTGTAGCCAACGTTGTGCTTCGTGCGAGCTGCAATGCCAGTGTTAATCAAGCATCGCACTTCATGGAAGGAAGAGCATACGATTTCAATCACTTGCTGGCGGACGATATCCTCAATAAGTGTTGTCGTTTCAACAGATGGTTCGGCAGTCTCTCCAGAGACGAACATCATCTGCAAAAGAGGTCAGCAGGCTGAAGTAGAAATCTGGAATTGCGTCCGTTTCCGAATGATTGAAGCCTTCTCGGACGGCATCCTGAGCATCTCCGTCCGAATCAGACCGAACCGAAGAGTTGAGGCACTCCGGTCAGAAGATGCAGCACTTGAAGTGCAGTGATCTGCCTCTCAGATGGCTCGCTCTTTCTGACGAAAGGATGACAGGAAGACGACACGGGACTGAGGAGGGCAGCAAGCAACGCTGTAGTTGAGAGGACAGGAGAACGGGTGATAACAGGATTGGTTTAACACAGAGTATATGAAGGAAATAGCTCATAGAACAGCCATGGCAATACTTCACTAGTAAGGATAACATATCGAGGGAACTCGGGTGTCAACTACACGATATGTTCCAATCCAGATACAATCCATGGCAAGGAGACCAATGATAACGGGGCTTTGATGCAGTCAAACAAGCAAATACGTGACGATAAGCAACGAAAATATTGCAAGGCATCGTCCAAGATGGAAGAGCCGAAAGAGTACTACAGAAAAAAGCCGCTGACTTACCTGCTGGATTTCCTGCCGATACTTAGGTGTTCGATCGGTCGCCATATTGAATTCGCTCAACGCAATGATCAACGTCAATTGGACATAGAAGCCGAAATGCAAAAGAGAAAGTCTGATGAAGAATGACACTTCCCGATTACCAGACTGCACGACACCCACTCTTAAACTATAGAATGATCTGATCTGATAGGAAACAGACCAAGCGCGGCCAGGGACCATTCCGATAGTCGGGGTTTCTGCTTTTCCGCCTTCCGCGTATCCCGCCGCATCTGGTGGGGTGGAAGATAGAAATTCTGGATGGGAATGACATTCTCCCTTCTACAGGCGTCAAAACCATTGACCGAATATTGCTATTGAATTTCCATCCAAGATGTTGTATCTTGTTGGTCTTGGTCTCGCTGACGAAACTGACATCACTGTCAAAGGCCTGGAGGTTGTCAAGAGAGCTGAGCGGGTCTACCTTGAGGCGTACACAAGCATTCTGCTAGTGAGCAAAGAGAAGCTAGTGAGTCCATTGCGAGACGCTACTGTACAATACTTGGCTAAAGAATGAACTGGTGCATTAGTAGGAAGCGTTCTATGGACGTCCCGTTATCGAAGCAGACAGGGAACTTGTCGAGACCGGCAGTGATGAGATCCTGGCTGGGGCCGACAAGGCGGATGTCGCATTCCTTGTGGTTGGCGATCCTTTTGGGTAGGTTCCCTCACACTTCAAGGCCGTCCGACGTTGCCTAATTGCCTACCAGCGCCACGACACATACGGACTTGGTTCTCCGAGCTCGAGAGATGGGCATTGAATCCAAGGTCATCCCGAACGCCTCGATCATGTCCGGCATCGGCTGCACTGGTCTGCAACTTTACAATTTCGGACAAACCGTGAGCATGGTGTTCTTCACGGAGAACTGGAAGCCGTCCTCTTACTACGACCGGGTCAAGGAAAACGTTCAGTTAGGTCTCCACACATTAGTGCTATTGGATATCAAGGTCAAGGAGCAATCGTATGAGAACATGGCCAGAGGACGGAGGATATTCGAACCTCCGAGGTACATGACCGTTGCTCAATGCGCGAGCCAGATGCTGGAAACCGAGGAAGAACGAAAGGAAGGTGTCTTTGGGCCCGACAGCCTTGCGGTCGGAGCTGCTAGAGTGGGAGGCCCTGATCAGAAACTGGTTGTGGGCACCCTCAAAGAACTGTCAGAGGTGGACATGGGCCCGCCTTTGCACAGCTTAGTGTTGCTTGGAAGAAAAGCGCATGATCTGGAGAGGGATTATATCAGAGAATTTGCTGTGGATAAGGCTACCTTTGATGCCAGCTGGAAGAAAGGGTATGGGGCAACTTCATGATGATTCAAGTGATACATTTGCCTTATTCCTTTAGAGAATACAACACGGACGCAATAGCACACCGTACACCAGAGTCTTTCTACTAGAGTGGAGATGATCGGAGAATTACCTGCCTAGTTTTGAAGTGCAGTAGTACCATAATTCCGCATGGGGATACCCTGGCGCTAAAATTAGTGCCTAAAAAACGGTCTTTAAAATATTTGATCGTTTGCATATCAATTGTCAAAAGAGGCAGAGCGATGCAGACAGGTCCAAAAGGCGCATGGTGGCACCGTGGCACCATTCTTCAAACATTCGTCGACGGGGTTTTGAGTTTAGCGCCAAGTTCCCAGTCCACCTGGAAAATGATCGATTAAATGCGACAGGTAGCAAACACCTCTTTCCACCCTGCTGCCATACCTTTTATGCAACGACATGCCCTTCGCACGACTTCAAGGCTAATATGAAGCTGTGCACACAGTCATTTGGGCCATTGCACCCTCGCTTCTCCAGCCAGAGACGCCAGATCTAGCAACCGATCCCATCCCTCCCCGCCATGCCCGTATACATGGTCCACGGCTTCCGGTGGCCACGCGCCGGCTTCACCGGTATCCGAGTCTACATCGTTCTCCACAATCTGGAAGACGCTACAGCGGAATACGTCCAGCAACCGGCGACAAGTCGACTGCTTACCGAATGCTTCAAGAAGACGGATCCTGATATCGTAGCTCGTCTGCCGGACCTACGATTCATCGAGCAATATGACCCCGAAGACACTGATAGCGCAACCGCTGTCAGCCAGCCCTATGCCTACGTCGCAGCGAAGGTGATCACACTCTCGGAACCTGGTGCTAAGGCGCCGGGGCTCAGCTGGAATCCCGAAGACTTGGCTAAGGACTCCCCTTTGGAACCAAGTGCCATGGAAGCCCTGACGCAACTCCGAGATAAGTACGCCGCAGGCGAGAGAATAGGCTGGTGGATTGTTTACAATGGGGACCCAGACAGGGCTTTCCCTCACTCCGAGGAAGACGACAGTTATGATGAATACGATTATGATGATGATGACGATGATGGGTACACGGAATCAAATGGCGATAGTGTTAGGAACTCAACAGCACCAGAAACACCTCCTAGCCCGGCGGTAAGTCTTGCCCTTCGTACTTCTTTGATACTTGTGACAGATTATACTGATGGTTTGGCGCATTCAAGGCTCGATTCCCCGTGAAGTTCGCCAGGTTTTTTGGCAGGTAAACGGCAATATACTACTAATTACGGCGAACGAATCTCACAATCTCCCATACCTTGCCATTTCTTGCGGAAGGAGTCTTTCATAACATCTTGTCATAGCATTTGTAACCTAGGAGTATCGGTTCTACATCAGTTCAGTGTCAACATTCGCATCACAAATGGTCATTAAGTCTATCGCTCTGCGGATGTAGAAAGGAATGTAACCAGTCATCAGCTTCGTAGTATCGGATTCGCATCTATGGTCAAGCGACATATCTTGATCGTTAACAGTGAAGATCAGCGCCATCTCATAGCAAAGGCGGTGAATGGTGGCAATATAGGATCGAGGCCCGATACCCATTGCGGAGAACCTCCCGGAAGTGACTGATATGTGCTCAACCACGCCGCCTCATCTACTCCGCAAACCGGGTAAATAAACGCGGGATGGTTCTTTCATTTATACTGGTGCAGAATCGCCAGTGAGTTACAGGCTTCCCCCTGATTGAGCCCGCCTTGCATTCTGACGGATGAACAGGGGTAAAACACGCCTGGCGAAGTGGTATGCGCCTTATAGCGTAAGTTGTCTTATCTTCTTGGTACTGGTACGATTTGCTAACTCGTTGCTTGCGTAGGATGAGGAGAAAGTAAAACTCAAGGGCGAGGTACGTCCGACAACCCCCCTTCGATATGCGATGCCGAATCCGCACGACTAACCCATTGATATCAGGTCCATCGCCTTGTCGCTCCCAGGGATCAGAAGTATCAATCGAACTTTGTCGAGTTCAAACGGAGTACAAAGATCGTGTACCGGAGATATGCAGGGCTGTTCTTCTGTGTGTGTGTTGACGCGACGGACAATGAGCTAGCCTATCTGGAGGCAATACATTTCTTCGTCGAGGTCCTGGACCAGTTCTTTGGCAATGTCTGTGAGCTGGATCTGGTGTTCAACTTTTACAAGGTGCGTGCGATCAATGCAGGTGGTTTATGTTCAGGGACATTGAGCGCTGCAGGAGATGTGATGCGATTTGGGACAACCGTGGTGCTAACTGGGCGATGTGCGCAGGTATATGCGATTCTCGATGAGGTGTTTCTCGCGGGCGAAATCGAGGAAACAAGCAAACAGGTTGTGCTTACGAGGCTGGAACACTTGGATAAGCTCGAGTGAGCCCTTTGGGGGCCAAATTTCATTGCAGAGGGAATCACTCGCTTTGACATTACGTTGATAAAGCGGACGTTAATTTGCATCAAGGTGACCTTGGGATATGGTCATCTCACGGAGTTATGAGGCTTGATTCAATCATTGTCACATATTTGGGCGCATTTCTCGTGACGTCCATATCTGCGTCACGTTCACCGTTCTCTGTTGTATCTAATTTTCGAATACATCGATACCATATTCGTGGGAATTGAGGGTTCAGGAGTTAGGCAGTACACTTGAGAGATGTACTGTGCAGGACCACCGAACAACAGCCGAAAAAACTGCCGTGATACTTGAACAAGGCTAGCGGGGTACATGATGGTCAGACATGCCGACCAAAACCATCCAACAGCAACAGGGAGCAATAATACCGATCAGTTTTATGATATATCGGGATACAGCCACTTCATTTAAGCTCAATTAACGTTTGTGAGCTAAATTTGACTGTCTGAGATCTGAGTTAATAGGACTTTATCCAAAATTGGAATGGCTGAAGAGGTGAGGTGATCACAGTCTGCGATTGCGATAGTAGTAGTTATTGTGACAACATGTCTTGGCATCAGGTATAAGAAGGCATAATGCCAAGTTCCTTCAAAACTTTTGTTTGATGCTGTGTTCTCATGGCGGAGAAGAATACGATCTGTCTCTCAATGCCTCATTGAATTAATTGAATTATTTGACTTGAACATTCACTTCTCTCCCGGACATGAGCGGATTACATGCTCACACTACTTGCCCAGGTGGAACAAGGGTATACATAAGAGCTGGCTTGTAGCAAACTCACAGGCGTCTCAGTTATCAGCAGCCTTCTCAAATGCCTCCTCGGTCATACTCTCTACGGAGCTACATGGGATGATGATCACGAGCTCCAACTGAGTCCGACGGCGAGTCGGCGACCCATTGACAAGCGTCCATACCTTTCTTCAGTTCAGATTACACAATCAGAACCACCTATCGCTTTGCACAGCTGTCGATGAACCGATACATACCATCTGCCAAGCTGGACTGGATCCAGTCGAAGATCATCATAAGGCATCCGACGATTGTTACCATGTCAACAAAAAACCGCATCACAATCAGCGGTCTCCGTTTCTTGGCTTCCAGGCCATCGAGCCAGGGCCCAGGAGTCTGAAATCGCGACTACTACTGGCACCATGCACGAGTCGATCCAGGTCGATCAAACGGCAGACTGGGTGGTCTTCTTGAATCATGAAACTTTGATTTGTGGCGACGATAATCAAAGGGGGAAATGAAGATGACCATGATAGTTATCAGTCACTCATGGGCGACAATACAACTGGCGGAGACTAATCAGCAGAGAACCACATTGCCACTTGCCTTCAGACTTGAATCCACTTTCCAAAAGACCTTTTGATTGTTTTGACGGCGGAAGATCCAGAAAAGCAACCTTTGAAGCCATACAAGTGGACCTCCGTACGAACATGTCAATACCACCACGAAAGCAGAGGTAAACAGGGGAAGTAACAGACGACCGTATCACAGACTTACATGCTTACTTACGCATTATCATGCCCAGTCCCCCCACCCGGAATATCGGCCCTGTTCTAGAAGGATAAATGATACGCTCATCCTTCCCTGTCTAGTCTTTCGTACCGAGTTTCTTGCGGAGTTTAGTCCAAGCTTGACAATAGACGTCCAACGAAGGCTTGGCAATGTTACAAATTTACAGGTCCGTGTTACAAAGGCCTTGGGATTGACCCAAAGCCCGGAGGGCCGAATGCTGTGCAAGAATGACCGTTATCTGGCGTCTCTGCGATCTCTAGGGCTGTCGCATGCTGCGTCATTAAGCGTTCCCTCTGCTATGGAAAAAAGCATTTGAGTCGATCCATAGCAAAACTGACACAGGTGGTATCTTAGGGAAATTCCAAGTTCTAGACTATGGAACTTATGTGGAGGTCATGGTAACCCATTATCATTAGTGAAAAGTGGGGCGGTACCTGCGTTTCAGACCTTGCGTACGGATATTTTTCAGGTTCGATACGCGTCAGCACGGCCACCCGCGCCCAATCAGGGATCGGAGGCGCATCGCCTTCATTATTGATCCTTTCCACATTATCACTTTCATCAGCGTGTCTACGCGGCAAGATCTTTGGGTTTGCGGTCCGGCGGTCTTGGCAGGTGTCCTGTCCGGTTCTGAGAGGCCCATACGGTGGAATATGTCCCGTCTCAAGTGGCCCCGTTGTCAAGCAAGAGCTTTGCCATGGGCGTACGCAGTTACGCACTCAGAGCGCCTATCTACAAACTACGTACGTTGAGACGTCTTCCTGGTGGAAAATGTCGGAGTGTCACCTCCTGACGATCCTTTGCTTTTCCCTTGGGTGCGTCAGCCAGTGACGTTATTTCAGTCGTCGGCGGTGCTCCAAAGCGCCCAAAACGTGGGCGGAGACCCGCCGGACAGGGGAGAACCAGAGTCCAGACCAGATACGGATAAGGAGATCGAGAGTTCAACCCCAAAGGTTTAGAGGGGTAAGGAGAAAAGGAATTAGGTTGATAGAGGAAGGAGACAGCGTGATCGAGAACAAGAATAGGGAATCAAGGAAAACTTACCAACGCCACATTACGCACTAGGTTGATAACGGCTCCATTGCATACGGAGTACAGAGTGCAAATAGATCAGAGGATAGCGGATTGCTCCAAGCTTTCATCCGCTTGTAACAGGAGTACTGCGCATCGTCAATCCTGATTGGATTACCAAACTAATTGTTATTCTATATTCACTCTTTCAAGATGTTACAAGTTACAGTGTCCTTGGCACCGGCTACTACTTTCTCTGGGAATGGTACTTAGCTAGAAGTCCTCCGTAACTATCATTGATCTGCATCTCAAGAGGGTCGGTCTCCTTTTAACCACTTCCTTCGTCCTTTCTTTGCTTTGACACTACTCTCTTTTTTAACTTGCTTTTGTGCTCTCTTTGGGTCTTTTGTTGTCTCTGCGTTTGTCCAAGTTCCAAGGCCATCCTTCTAAACCTTCGTTATCGGCGGATACCTTTTCTATATTTCAAAACAAGACACCTAGAACTATAACTTTCGTTCCACGAACATACAATGTCGTTGATGCACGCCGACAACCTGGCTCCCCAGCCTATCACAGATATCTTCACTAGCGACACATGCATTGACCGGAGAAAATGCCACCGGACAGTGCCTATGAAGGTGCTTGCGCTTGGCGTGGGAAGAACTGGTACTGCGTGTATGTTCTGTCTCCTGTGAATTCAAGCCGTATGCCAGCCGTCTGACGGTTTACTAGCCCTCCGCAAGGCCCTTGAGAGATTGGGATATGTCAAATGCTACCACATGATGTCCGCCAGCGTGGAGAACCCTCCTGACTGTCTGATGTGGCACGATGCTCTCTGCGCCAAATACGACGGTGTGGGTGAGTTTGGCAGAAAGGAATGGGATCAGTTGCTGGGAGACTGCCAGGTATGCTTGAATCACTGAAGAGATAGAAGGGACGACAGCCGCTAATGCCTCTCCAGGCTGTCTGCGACTGGCCTGCTTGTGCCTTCGCCAAAGAGTTGATCGAAGCCTATCCCAACGCCAAAGTCATTCTGTCGACCCGTGATGTGGACTCGTGGCATGCGTATGTGCTGCTCTACATGTCTATTGAGAAGAGAAGTCAAGTCTAACTCCATTTGCAGTTCCGTCATGAAGACCGTTTTCTGGCGTGTCACCGACCCTGAACACCGCCTCGTTTCCCACTTCAGCTGGGCCGCCAGCATGTACTACCCCATGCTGAACAAGTTCTTCGAGACGTTCTTCCGTGGCGACTTCCCCAACAAGGGCAAGCAGGTCTACCTTGATCACGTGGAGGAGGTCCGCAGCCTGGTTCCTCCGGAGAGACTGCTCGAGTACCAGATCAAGGATGGCTGGGGACCGCTGTGCGAGTTCCTGGGCGAGGAGGTCCCCGACACTCCCTTTCCCCGTGGAAACGACATGGCGGACTTCTTCAACCGCTGCCGCACTCGCAACAGACGTCAAATGATGAACGCCGCTCTGCAGGCTGTCACCATGGGTGGGGCCTTACTGGCGACTGGGGTTGCTGCTGCCATGGTTTTCAAGCGCTTCTCCCGGTAATGATTTTCATTTTTCCTATTTCGTCCGACATGTGCGCTGGCGCCATGGATCTTTGACCTGTCACCCGTTTCAGGCTTTGAACATTACTTTAATCTCTTCAAAATATGTTTTATGTTGATTCCCTAATGTTACCTCTGGTTTGTCCACCTTCGTTTTGATCGGGGTTTGATCCTCAATGCACATTGACAAATGATATCTTCCCATCTGGTCGTGGTGCCTTGTCTAAGACCGTGCGGTGGAGAAATTGCTTGGCTCAAGGGCCGGAATATATAGAGCGAGGTTCCTCTGAAAAGAAATAGATATCCAAAATGCTGCTGCCTACTCATATCAATAAAATCGAAGTATATTGCTCCTTCCAAGCCTATGATAGTTCGACTTCTTCAGCCCTGCCATTCCTTGGCCTCCTTGGTACATGTATAGGAAGCTCGGCATTCCCCATCATGCAGGCATTCAGCCCTGGAAGTTAGGAGGTTGCTTGTCTTGGCTGAGACATCGCAGGCGAGATGGGCAGCCCTACGGGGTATGTTGGGGGTTTGTTAATTGCCCGCGTGCTTGGCTACAGGAGTAGTTTCTTGGTGTCCCAGGCAAACAGATATTGATGTCTGTATTGACAATAATTGAGGATTACTAGTCTAATTGTCAGGCGTGTAACCTGCTTTTGAGGATGCCGGATACCCGAGATCGTCAAGCTGTACATTGCACAGTAGAACATGCCTTCGGGGTGAATCCTGAATAGGCGAATTGAGGCTTGTGATTCAATCAAGAACGATACTTGCAGGTTACTATTCATAGATTGCTGCAGCTATCAACTCCCTATCAAATGTCAATGATTGATCTGAAAGGACAACACTCAAGTAGGTGGAATCGTGCTCCGTCCGCTGGAACTCACCTCAGCGATATATGTTCGTAAAGTCCTACGTAGCCCAGTACGTAACCCTATGCAGACGGCTTATACAGAACACACTCCTTAACTCCGTACTCCAACATCCCCCTGTCGCCAAAACCAGGAGCAAGGTCAAACTAGTCTAGTCTAAGGAAAGTACTTCGTACGAATACGGCCAATGCAGTGGGGTGGCTTCAGCCACAGTCACGACTACTGGGCCATACTGACGCCGTGGCCTCTGCTAACCTTTTGGTGTAGTCTATGTAGCGTGACGTGGCGTACGGAGTAGATAGGTATGAGACGGATTACCGGATTACCTTTCTCAAGGGGGTTTTCTGCTCGGCTTTAAGAGGCTTGATGTTTTGGGACGGGAATATGGTACGGGTATGATACGGTAGTGTTTTATACGGGGTGTAATATCGGGTATGGTCATCTCAGGTAGAGAAGTATACAATAATCATCAAGCTAAATACTCCATCTGTGATCTCCAAATGGGTCGCAAGTCCACGAGTTCATGAAAGTTTGAATATATGGCTGATCTGCTCTGGCGGGAGCTTGTGCTGGAGTCGACGTGTGCCATCGGCGATGATAATTTCCTTTTTTTTGTACCTCGACCTCTCAATGTCAAGTCTACTGTTAGTCATCTTAAAGGCTAATCATCGGGAGAACTACAGACCATTCCTTGTGAGGTAGGTATCATTTCTGGGCATCTATAAAAAGCCCCGCACAGCTCTATCAGACCAATGATAGAAAATGATGGCGTATGCAATTCTCAAGGCCCACCAGACCCGGGGATTGGGCGAATTCCTTTAGTTGAGCGAGTCTCTGAGTCGGTGGTGATAGGTAGTCCTATCATCCTATGTAGCTAGATAACTAGATCCATGCCTTTTGAATGAAACCTCATTGTCTTGACTTTCCAAGTGAAACGCTTTAAGTGTGGCGTCAAACTTCTGCGCGTCTCCCGGCTTTCTGCAGATCAGTCCCGATCTCGTCTTCTTCCACAGGGGGAGGTATCGTATATATCATTGATTCCTGTACATCATTTGATTGATACAGTTCGTCATTTCCCTTGCAGCGTCATCTGCGACCTCTCGACACTCCCGCCGTCTTTGGCTCCCTTCTCTCCGCCGGAGTCCGAATGCGAGGATATGAAGTATCCATGACATGATCGTCCTTACTCGCATATCTGGAGGATTGGCTCCGTCATTGGCCTTTCGCTTCGTTTCATTTTTGTTGATCCTTCTGCTATGTTGTTTCGAGCATGTCGTCGCAGAAATCGATTCCGAGTTCAAATCCGTAAGTCTGCTATTTCATGATGTTTCCCCCTCAACGATAGTGGCGGCGTCTCAACGTGAGACATGACAAGGCAGCTAATCGATGATCTCCGACGCTATTCTAGAGGCCCGATCTATACCCGCCGGTCTTCACCGTTGAACAAAGCGAACCGAACAAGCTCAGTCCGGGGTACATCTTTCTTGGCCCGTATGAGGCAGATAATTCGGGGCCATATATCTATGATACTGAAGGGGTAGGCATTATCGTTATTTCAGCCGAGTTGTACAGTCGGAAAATCAGCTGATATCCGACAGAATTTAGTATGGAGCGGCTGGGGTAATTCGGGGCCGGGTAATGCCCATGGCATGCACGTATGCAAGTACAACGGAGCGAACCACCTGTGCTTCTTCCAAGGAATCCAGCAGAATGGGTATTGCAGGGGCCATGGCGTCATTATGGACAACCGCTATCGCATTGTCAAGACCGTCACCCCAGGAGGGGGGATTGCAGCGAGCGATATGCACGAGTTCCGGCTGGTCAATGACGGCAAGACGGCGCTGATGACCGTCTATCAACAGCGGCAGTTCGACATGAGCCTCTGGAACCTCAGAACGGGCATGGGTTGGTTGATGGAGAGCATCTTCCAGGAGATCGATGTGGAAACGAATCAGGTCCTGTTTGAATGGCGTTCTCTGGACCACGTCGATCCGTCCATGAGTTACACCTACCCGTCGTCCACGGACACATCCGGCACCGGGTTCGAGCCACGGTCTCCGTGGGATTATTTCCATATAAACTCGGTCGATAAGAACAAAGAGGGCGACTACCTGATTTCTTCGCGCCATACGAGTTGCATCTACAAGATCTCCGGCAAGGATGGCTCGGTCCTATGGCGCTTGCACGGCGCCAATCCGTCCTTCAAGAACATCAACTTTAGCTTCTCGCAGCAACACGATGCGCGCTGGCTCAGCGAGAACGCCACACATACGCTCCTGTCCCTGTACAACAACGGCTACAACGGCTACAACCAGACGCATCCCTATTCGTCCGGTATGATTATCCTCATTGACCACGTAGCCAACACAGCGACACAGATCCACGAATACAAGCCGCTGAATGACGACATGATCAGCTCCAGTCAGGGGAATATGCAGGTGCTGCCGAACCGGAATGTGTTTATAGGATGGGGGAACAATGCGTATATCTCCGAGCACAACGAGCAAGGCAAGCTGGTCTTCTGGGGTTACATCGCCAAGGAGAAGATCATGAACTACCGGGCCCTCAAGTTCGAGTGGGAGGGCAACCCGACCGATGTGCCCGCTCTGTGGACCTATGCCAAAACAAACGATGGCTTCTCTCCGACTACCTTCTATGTGAGCTGGAACGGCGCCACGCGCGTGAAGCACTGGCGATTCTACGGCGCCGCAAACTCGACCGGTCCCTACGAGTTGCTAAGCCAAGTCGCCAAGCAGGGATTCGAGACCATGTACACCAACTCGACCTTCTACCCCTGGTCATACGTGGAAGCAGTCGACGGCCAGGGTAGAGTCCTGGGCAAGTCCCGGAACCAGTTCACCTTCACCCCGTCGCCGGACCTGCAAGGCTATTGCGCGGATGACTTTTGCAGCAAAGCAGAAGCATACGGCCTGCCTGGCGAGGACAACCCGAAGCCCTTCATTCCTCCTGTGGGAATCAACTCCGTTCCTTGGATCGACCCGGACCACCCAGAATCGCACTACAACCTGGGACAACCCGGTGCAGCAGCCCCTTCATCCGCTCCGCAAGGTGGCAAGGGTATATATGGTGAGTTCCTTGCTTACGACTGTGTCATTGGGGTATCTTACTAACTTGACTATTCTAGCGCACACCGGATGGATCGTTCCTATGGTCGCGGTGGCCCTGGCGGCGATCGGGGTGTTTTTAATCCTTCGAGTCAGCCGCCGAAAGCGCCATCTGCAGCGAGCAAAAGAGCGCGGTTCATCCGAGTTTTTGAACGAGCATGAAACGAAAGCTTCAACCAGTGCAGCTGGATTGCGCTGGTGGGACTGGCGACGATGGGTCGACTCGCAAGACGAACCACATCATTACTTTCCCTTATCGGAACAGGGGCCGCATAGGCATGCGAATTCATGATCATCATCTAGATAGATACCCAGTATATACCTAATGGAATTAATGGTATAATATTATATTTGGATCCGTCAGATCATCGCATATCAAAGCCAACAGTGTACGATACAATACACCTTGCCGAAAAGACACCCTGTCACAAAATAACAATACACAAACCGAACGAAGAGAAGCCCGGGGATTACGTGGGATACGCAAACTGACTGACTCGCGCACTAAAAGCCGACGAACGGAGACGCTAGTCTACCTGTGGGCAGATAGAAGTTGCAGGGCATACGTAAGTCGATACGTAGTCGATACGTAGTCTATCTGTTTACTTTCTTACGGCGAACCCTACGGATCTAGATAGACCTGATGAGGAGTTACTTTGAATTGACGATTGAAAGGTGAAAGCTTGACTGCAGCCAGATTAGCAATCAAGGGTATAACACTGTTGAAGGTGAAACACTGATGGAAATAGTATTGTGCTGGATGTTGATCATAGTCTGTAACAGATAGACAAGCAGAATAGGGCATGATCCCACCTGACCTGCCAAGCCTCTGCTCCGTTAGTTGACCCATGGAACGAGTTATTCAGGAACCAGAGATGGGACGAAAGAGGGAGATTATGAACTTGCCTAAAGCAGCAACTCCACCCAAGTGCCAAACAACTTCGTACAATATGGGCCATGGGGCCTTATGTCGATCTTTTTACAAAATACTGGACCCATCTGGCCTTCCGTCTTCTTGGCACTCGGCTCTTTTTTTTCTTTCCTTTTTTCCTTTTTGCTTTTTTACTTTGTTTCTGGCTAAATTGAATATAATTAGTGCAATAATGCGAGTAATGTGCTGTTACAGATCCAATACAGTTGCTGTATAAGGAGGCCGGGTTTCATCATGGATTCAGATTCATTACCTTTAGCCACAGATGTAGTATTCCCTTGGTAGTCAGTAAGTATGTAAATGTCAACACCAGCGTCATATCTACTGCGTATGGAAGCATTACTCATAAGTTATTAACATTATGTAGTTAGTGTACTGTGGAAACTCTATCT